TTTTTTTTTTCATGTCAATTTGAAAGAAAAAAAATCAAACGACTCGACTGGCATTCAAATGTAAACGCCAGAAATCGCTGAATTGTGGGGACGAAAAGCACATGAGGAGAAGGCGTTATACAGCGCTACGTACGACCTCTGAAGGTACTTGTCCCCTGTTTTGGTGTCGGCGACATCAAAGCTTGGCAATACCTCCCTGTATCATACCTTAATTTTACTCAAAGAATACATTGCCCTCCCTTTTTTGGGATCGGTACTAACATTTCTGTGATCCTGTGTAGTCCTCAACCGGCTCACTACTCAGGTCGATTCTCTTTATTCATTTTCTTATTCTCTTTGTTGTCACCGGGTTCAAAAAATTGGTTGTCTCGTATGCGTTTGATGTAGGGAACAGAGATTCTCTGTAGGGAACACTTTGTCTTGAAGAAACAACCAAAACCACGAGTCCTTGGAAAATTCCAGTATACTCATTCGCAAGATAGTCAAGATTACGCATTTCAGGTTCGGTAACTCATTCGTCTTAGTGATCTGATGATAAATCTTATTGGTTATATTTTTTTTTAATATGGATGTAGTTATTCGATGTCTTTATTTGTTTCCTCAGTAATTACAGATGGAGAGGCAGTAAATAAATAGGAAGTAGCTAAAACAGTTTCCCAAGATGTCCAAAGTGCGAAAGCTGTCAATTCGCGGGATCAGGAATTTCTCCGACGTCGAGGAGTCGACATTACAATTCAGCTGTCCTCTGACCCTGATAACTGGTCTCAATGGAGTTGGAAAGACAACAGTGATCGAGTGTCTCCGATACATCACCACAGGAGAACTCCCCCCGAATTCAGACAAGGGTAAGGCTTTTGTTCATGATCCCATGCTGAAGAAACAAGCCTCAGTGCAGGTGCGGGGCTGTGTCAGGGCGCAATTCGATGATCGCGAGGGGAAGACCATCACCGTCACGAGGACAATGGAGTGCTCTCGCTACAAAAATCAATCTAGATTCAAAACACTTGACGGTGCTGTGGTAGTCTACAATCCCAAGACTAAAAAGGAAACTCAGCTGACGAATCGTTGTGCTGATCTCGACGTAGAGGTCATGCATGCTTTGGGTGTATCCAAAGCAATACTGAATCACGTGATTTTCTGTCATCAAGACGATGCAAATTGGCCTCTGGATGAGAACAAGGTGATTAAAGAACGCTTCGATGCCATCCTGGAGACAACCAACTACAATAAAGCTCTGGAGACCCTTCGAAAGCTCGCGAAGACGAAGGGAGCGATGTTGAAGGTCTATCAGGTCGAGGAACAGAGGCTTGCAGACAGGGTTGCTGATATGGAAGCCAAGGAGGCGAAGCTGGCGGATTTTAAAAAGAGGAGGAATGAAATAATTGAAAGAATGAAGAGAATGAACTCACAGGTGGAGCCCGTCAAGGAGCGACTGGAGCAAATTAGGAGTATCGAGGCTGAGTTCCAGAGGCTTAAAGCTGAGGATGAGATGGATAAAGTCTCGCACAATATGGCTTACGAGCAGTGCGAGTCTCTGCAGCTAAGGGTGAAGGAAATTTATGAGGGGAGTGATGATGATTTGTGGAAGGCGATCAACTCGTATGACAGCGGGCTTGAGGCGAAAAATTGGAAGATCGGGGTTGTCGAAAGGGAGATCAAAGAGTTGCTGAAGAATGAGCAGAATTTGGTGAAGACCCTCGGAGACCATAGAGTACTGATGGGAACTCTCAAGCAACAGGTCGAGGACCAGAAAAAAAAGACGAACGAGAGGAACCAGGTGCTCAATTCAGCATTGACGATGTGGGGCTTGGATACTCTTCGAGGGTTTGAAGATGTTAATGAGATTCAGAAAGCTGTTGAGGAGGTGGAGGTCAAGACACAGAAGTTTGAAAGATCTATCAGTAATAAACGATTGGAGCAGAATCAGCAGGAGAACGGTTTGGAGAAGATAGTGGATGCTGCTCGAGATAAGAGATCAAAGATTAATTCAGAGTTGAAGAGGAGTGAGGAGGAGGCAGAGGAAATCAGGAGCAGTATTTATGATGCTAGATTAAAGATTGGACAGGGTAATGATTCTGAGAAACAACTTGATGCCGTTGACGTGAAACTCGTGCAAATTGATCAGGAGATTGAAGAGATGAATGAGCTGATGAAGTCTGAGGATGTTGATGGCAAGATCGCCATGGAGACTAGTAACTTTGAACGGATTGAGGAGGAATTTACGAAACTAGATGAGGAGATGACTCTTATTCAAAATCAGAGTGCATTGAATGCGAAATTGGAATCTCTGAAAGCCAATTTCCAGGCGAAGAGCAAAGATATTGAACAACTCAAATCGAAACACGAAGTTAATATCAAGAAATTGTTAAAGCAGAATGAAATACCGGAATTCAACCTCAAAGAGGCAGTCGAGGAGGCGCAGAAGGTCCTGTCGGAGAGACTGGAGATAGTGTCTACAGAAATAAAAAAAAAGGAGTACGAACTGATGACTTTAGAGACAGCCTTAACTCATGCCAAGCAGGAATTAAAAGCTAAGATTGCTAATAATGACTATGAGCAGGAGAAGGTTATGGTTTACTGCGAAGATTATAACAGCTACCCGGAAGTCCTGGAGAATCAACAGAAGAAGTTGAAAGAACTGCAAGATGAGAGAGGGATAATTGCCTTCCAGGGTTCAGCCTACAACACTTATATCCGGGAGTTGAATACGAATTCATGGTGCGGCTTGTGTGAGAGGCATTTTGATGCACAATTAGATAGCAGAAAGCTTATGAGAAAGCTGGAGAGCGGGATTGCGAATAATCCAGACCTCCTAAAGAGGTGTGAAAGGAAATTGAAGATTGAACAAGAAAACTACAACACTCTTCTCTCCTTGAAATCTACAGTAGAAGCCATCACCAAGTTCGAGTTAATGGAGAAGGCGAATATGACGAAGAAGATTAAGCTGAAGGAGCTTGAGGTTTCAGAGCTGAAGGGAAAAATAGAAGAACTGAAAGAATCGAAGCTCGAGCCCGAGAGGAGCATTGAAATGGTTAAATCCATGATTCCAGATTTGTCTATTTGGGATCGTTACTCCCAGGACCTCATGGGAATCGATATGGCCATGGACGAGCTACGGGAGGAGATGTCAACCAAAGGATGCACTAGTGATAAAACGATGGAGGAGATACAAACAGAGAGAGAGGCCCTCAAAAAATCTATAAAGGTGACACGAGACAAGATCGATGAACTAAGATCAATCCTCGACAGCCGAAAGGAACAGCTTCGCAGGGCAACTGAGAAGAGAACCAAGTGCCTTGAGGAACAGCTACGTATCCACAATGAGGCTCAGCAACTGCGAAAACTGAAGAACGACCTGAACGATATGATTATCAAAGAGAAGAATTTGCGATCATCAATCCAAACTTTACGCCAGCAGTTGATAACCGCCGAGGAAGAGCGTACTCAAGCTATCAGGGAATTGGACGAATTGAAGTGCAAAAATCGAGAGGAACAGGAAAATGATAGGAAGCAGATGAAGAATTACGAGAAGCAGTGGGACACTCTGAATTCCCTTCAAATGGAGATAACCCTTTTAGTCTCTAAAAATGTAAAGAATCAATTGCAGAAGCTGGAGTCAGAAGTGAAACGCTATCAAGAGGTGTACGAGGAAGATCAGTCGAAGAGATCGAAAAAGGAGAGCGAATTGATTCAGATAAAAGAGGATATCTCGTGTTACGAGACGAAGCAGAGAAATCTAACGGACAATGTTGAGCTCAGGAAGTATCAGAGGGCTCTTAGAGATCTCGAAGACGCTAGCAAGCAGCGGAAAATGAAGATCAATCGGCTGCAGTACGACCAGGTGATTAAAGAACAGAGGAAACTATTCGATGAACTTCAGGAAGCTGAGGGAGAAGTCAACAAGGCTTCTGGAATTCGAGGAGAGATTGAAAAGAATATCGATCAGCTGACTGCGGAACTGAATACCCAAGAGTGCAGAACAGCTCGAACAGTCCATCGAAGTAAGAGTTTCGAAGTAATCGTTACCACACAAGCGATTAACGATGTCATGACGTATACGAGAGTGTTGGACAGGGCGACAGCGGAGTTCCACGAGGAGCGGCTCAATAAGATCAACTCAGCCATGAAGAAGCTGTGGAAATTGATTTATTCGGGGAATGACACTAAGTCCATTCAGATCAGGGCTGAGGCGACTTCGACGACTGGAGCCACCGAGAGGAGACAGTTCAACTACAAATTGGTGCAGGTAAAGCACGGAATCGAGATGGAGATGAGGGGACGCTGTAGTGCTGGTCAAAGGGTCCTTGCCTCCATCATCCTGCGATTGGCTCTGGCTCAGACTCTTTCTCAACAGTGTGGCATCCTTGCTCTCGACGAACCAACCACTAATTTGGATTCTATCAATTCTGCCAAACTTGCTGATGCCCTGTACAGATACGTCACCTACAGGGCCCAGTACGAGAAGAACTTTCAGCTGATTGTTATTACTCACGATGAGGAGTTTATTAGAAATCTCAATGAACTTGGCTCGCAGCACTCTGCGCAGGAACTCTACAGGAAGGATAATGGATTGACGAGTGTCAGGTTGTCTACACTAACCAAGAGTGAGGGTGCGCTTGAAAGCGATCAGTCGGAATCTGAGAACGATCCTGCGACACAATCGAGCTCCAGGAAGAGGGCACATCCTGGTGATGGACCCACTGCCAAGAAGAATAAACCTTTCAAATTCGACCTCAATTTTTGAAATGTAAAGATCTCGAGATTCCTACCTCGATATTCTTGTTCTTTTATTTGTTCAGAAATTTATATATTTATAGAAAGAACGCTGGGCGCCAGTGGGCATTATTTTTTCGAGTAGAAAAGAAATGTCTGGTTTTTACCAGTTATTAAGTGGAGAAATTACAAAATCTGTTCGTTTAATTTGGTAAAAACCTTTTTTTTTGTATTTTTTCGTTTTTATCTCATGTGGAGTAAATAAATATCATTGTCAGTGAAAAATGGTAAATTTGAAATTTGGGCGCGTCAGTAGCGGAGTATGCTTGCTCATGCGCCGTTATTTCCTAACCTCACTGAGTAACCACTTGTCTCAACAGAACATAGCGACTAATCAGCAAGCCACAACCAATTTGTAACGGGCATTTTCAATTGTGGTGTTGCGTGGAAAATAAATTTTCCAACATTCTACGATTTCTATCACTTGAATCAATTAACGTCCACTGAAAAAATCGCTTAATAATCATCCCAGTGTTCAGTTAAGTGTAAAAGTGAAGTGTCCATTGGAAATATCTCCTGAATAGCCAATAAATCAGATGTGTAAGGCTTTGTTTGTCCCCCTCGGCTGCTGGACTCTCGAGAATTTCAATAATCACTATTTATTAATCAACGGAAATACAAATATCAGTGAGATCAGCACGGAAATGTCGAGGAGTCATCCATAGGGGACTGCAGGAGCCTTGGAACCATAATCAGCTAGTCGGTGAGTAATAGGACATAATCATTCTAAAACCTAATAACGTAGAGCTGGAAACAGAAAAAAAAATGATGTCACAGGCCTTCGAATTTTGATTAACTCCATAACCATTACTTGGCCTCTTCGGGACTCTTGACCACTGGATTAAGATGTGTAAACACAAGGCTTGAACCGACATTTTTGGTCAGGTTAAGTCATCGGTGTAAACAATCCAACAAATCCTCAATATTATTGATTTTTCGCAATACTCTTTTAGTGCGTGTGCACAACTTTGCAAAAATTTATGATAAACCATGAGTACTCAGTTGCATTATCAATTATTTCGCGATAATAAGTACATATGTCAATCAGATTGGAGCAGATTCAATGTTCTCCATAAATTAATTATTAAACGTGATCCAATTCATCAATTTGTTACTCTGGAAATAGTGAATTGAGTGGATTTTCTTTTTTCAGGGGAGAAATGTTCGACAACCGATAGCGAGTATTTCACGTGAAAATGTCAAATAGAAGAGAGAAACCAGCCGCTGGCTTCGTGAGTACAATCTTCTCACTCTCGATCATTTAATTGAATTTTCGAGAATAATTAATATAGAATTATTGAGCAATTTGTGCAACACCCAGTGAGTTATACCGCACTCAGGCACTCACTGTCAGGTGTAACGGTACGTTTAAAATGCTCCTAGCCAGCAGAGTATACGTAAACTATAAGATATTGGCGTGTAACAATATTCGCCCTGGAAGTACGGTCTTTACCTTCTTCATGTACCCGTGACCCTCTTTATACGAAAAATCGTCTACACACTTGCAATCATCATCTCTTCGCCCTAATTCCCCAGCAAAAACGTGTATTTCGAGTGAAACTCAGTGCACAAGCTGAGGAATGCGAAAATTATTTCCTAGCGTCCAATTAAATTGCATTCTTTTCATTTTTTAACTCTCCGCTCTAAACTGCTACATTTTCAAACTCCTCCAATTCTGCTGGCGCCTGCATTCCCAGCTGTTTGAGGAGAAAGAAGTAATGCGAAACTTTTGCGTGGAAAAGTGGAAAAAAATGATAAAACCTGGAGCGATAAGATAACGTCGAATTGTTCGTGGGAAAACATTAGAATACTCATGTTGTTTTCGTTGAGAATTTTGAGAGAATTGAGTGGGGATGACTAAATGGTATACACGGCATGATTTGGAAAAGTCCTTGAGAGTCAAGGAAAAAACGAATAATTATACGTAATGAAGTATCTGATAATGCCATTGTCTGATAAGATAGTCCCCTGATTTTTTTAGATTCAATTAATTCTTTAGTACGCGGTATTCGGCCTTTGGATTCACTCATCCCGCATTTGTAATCGACCGATTGAACTCGATAGAAAACGCATGGTGCCACCTGTTTGAATGCACCAAACGCAGCCACTTGCTGCTCTAAAACCAAACACCCCACCTCATTCACCGTCAACCTACTACATGTGATGAATACGCGCAGACCAGTTTTACACTTTTTTTTTTACAACTCAGTGCATGAAAACATTAAAGACATTGAAACGCGAGTTGACCATCATTCGAGTTAGTGTTAACGTCGTAATCGTTTTTCCGGTTAGAAGAGAAGATATATCATGTCAATTCAGCGTCGAAAAAGTTGGTACAGAACGACGGAAAAAGTGAGTGTTGCTGGATTTTTTTCATTATTATTAAATTCGGAGCACTCGGGGCACCGTAAAAATACGCGCCCTTGGCTCTGTCGTTTTTAAACGTGTGATCTTTATTTGTGAAAATAAAACTTTGGCATTGGTGTCGACCTGACGTCATCGCCTGTATCGTCCTCGTACTAACATTAATCGCTTTTTTTCGCGAAGGAAAGAACAAGTCGGTCGGAAAAAGGCCTCTGCTGTTTTCGCAAACCGGTATTTAGAGTTTATTATTGAATGCCGGTGATATGGGGCAGTTCTGATAATATGAGTGTTTCAGAATGATTTACTATTGACAAATAATGACTTAAAGGCATTTCTTATATGGAAGTACTTGACGGGGAGAAGACCCGATGATTTCTCAGATTGGATTCAATCCATTATTTGGAAAATCCTTGATTGCGGATGTTTAATAGTTTATTCTTTGTCAATTTCATTGTTATTGAATTACCATTACAACGACCGAAAGAAATTCGTAAAAACTGTAATTGATCTTCAAATAAAATTAATTTGTGGAAACAAATTCGTTAGTTTTTAGAATAAATTTTCACTCAAGGTCTGAAAGACAAGGAATAATGCGAGAATCATTAGATCGACCACCGGCAATCAAGTGGAAATGTAAAATACACTTTATCCATGATAGGTGTCTGCTATCTGGATCGCGTGTAAATTGATACCCAAGTTTATATCACACTCACTCGATAAAAAGTGTTGTTATACACAAGACTGACGGCTTAAAGTGGCCGGAATGATCGAGGGAAAAGAAACCGATGGAGAGGAAGAAAATGGTGAAATAAAGAAGAGAAAAGAGGGATTGAAAAAACGAGAGCATGTTAATCTCTGGGGATATGTGCACCGGAGGCGTGTCGACGTCGCAGTGACGCCAGCTCCCAGGATTACCTCATCGACCTTTTACGCTAAGACGTGACTCCTCTCATACCTCACCACCAGAATCCACCATCCTTTTATCATCTTTCACTTTTCATTGTTCTGTTGAACAACTAGTCTCATTTCCAATAATCAAACCCAGTCCCCAACTCTCTAATCCTAATCTATTAGTCATCATTAGCACTTTCTCCAACTGATCAGTAGCACCAAAACAATTGACGTAACTGAATTACCCCCTCTCCAATAATGCCAAAGCGTTATCAACAAGTATAAAAAATTCTAATAGAACAGACGATTGATTTATGTATTTTCCCCTGAAATTCCTGACCCGGTAATGCCGGGCTTCAATATTTAAAATTCCACTCTCAAAACTCGTTCCTATGATAAAACCCTGGCAAGATGAAAATCTGTCGCTCCTGGAACTGAAATAAAAAAATTAACAACAGTCGAAAAAAAAAGAAAAAAAAAAGTCTCAATTTCATATTTCAATAATCTCAATGACCGTTATGTTAATGTTCAGTTAAACCCGTTAATATTCCGTTCCGTGCGGAGTATCAAAGCTCATCTTCGTGGTTAAAATGCCACATAAACATCGGTACAACTTATTAACATTCCCAGGTACATTGACACTGCGCTATCTCTCATTGTTCGCTGTTTGATCATTGGTACCCGGACATTCAATTCTATCAGAGGTTTAACTTCCTCCACATGAATTCTTCACATCGCTCATTATCTCTGGTTATTTCGTTTTGTTTGGGAACACCTACGCCACGGTTGATGATGGCATGGAAGAGGGGAGAAAGCGAGTTGGCAAGAGTCTGGTTGGAGGTAGTGAACCAGTCTTGATCGGTCCACTCTCCTATGCGGAACTGACCTCTCATCCAGGAATCTCCATTCTCTTCCGTTTGTACAGTCATAGCTTTACCCTGAGCTCTCGCAATTTCAACATTTCCGAGGCAATTCGAATTTCCAGTACCCTCACCAACAAACAGTTTGGATGATCTCTTCAGTACCATCATTATCTTTCTATCGAGTTCAATAATTGTTGGATTGTATTTTTTTATTTTTAGTTTGCATGTCAAGTAATTTTTTCACCTGATAAGCGTGTCATGTATGTCATTCTGTTGCCGACTGATAGTGTCGTGTGATTCTGCTGTTTTTGTGGCTAGAGCCGAAGTGTCATTATTATTAATAACTCGGACAGTAACGGATATGCGATAGATGGAAATCATTGATGTGGTAATGATGGATGATGATGTTGCGCCCAGTATTTCGTGCCAGGTCGATCTGTCTGACAGGATAAGTGGTTTTAATTGTCAACTAACGTGTGGTGTGTGATGCTTCTGGAAATTGACTCAGTCAGTCAATTTATTTGGAATAAAAATGATTACAGAATGGGTGAGCTTAACTGGTTATTTATTATGAAGTTTATTTTTATCCTTCATTGGTAGTGACATTGGGGGTAGAGGAGTCCTGGTGATTATTTAATTTATCCTACGAGTTTCGTTGAATGGAGCTATTTTGACAGCGTGTGTTTATTTTTGGAGCTGTGTCACTGAATGAAACTTTATCAATTATGGTTTGAAGAGATTTTATGTGCATTTTGGAGAGGGGAAACGGCACAAGGACGTCTGAATCACACGGAATTTCTCTCAATGCCGTGCTATGTTAATTTTCAGCGTTTATTTTTGTTGTTAAAAAATTTTCATCGATTACACTATTATACATGTTCGTAAGGAGGCATAAACTTGATAAATAGAGTAAATTAGCACTCTAGTCCCATTGTGTTCCCGATAAGTCCACTGCCGGTCCTGTATGCCACATGAATCACTAATCAATAATTATGAAAATGTTCAGTTGTTGCGGTAGAACTATAGCTTGGCAGTTTTTTTTTTCTACAATCCACGCGGCATTCCGATCTCTCGAGGTCTAGAGTCAACACGTTATTTTCCGCGATAAATTTGAAATGTAAAAAATGCTAATGCCGAGCTGATTTAATTCACTCCATTCCTCAATCGTCGTGTTCGTTGAGTTCTGTTGGAGGATATTTGTCACGTGAGAATAGTGAAAATCGTGGAAATTTTTTAATTAAATGATCTATTTGGAATAATGAGGTGTACGCCTAATACATCTCTCTGGAATTTCTTTGGGGTGTGTTATTTATTGATGAGAGAATTAGAAATCATTGTGGAGATCATATGCCTGACAAAAGAAGTGCAAGGGTGAAAGTCATTGTATTCTGAACGTTCTCAGAATTTAGCCATTGCTCAATCAAGATTCCCAGTGATCTTTTCTTTAACAAATAATGTTTGCATAATCGATGGTTACGTGACAATGCAAAATGTGTAGTTGTAGACACAGTTGGTTTTTCATTGATGGGGAATAATGGTTATTGAGTTTTTATTTTTTGTTTGTTTTTTCAGCTGGACACATGGTTCGGACGACCGAAGAAATCCGGCCGTGGGGGTGGAGTGAGAAGTGGCACCGGCTTCAACACAATTCCACGGCCGAATTCCGGTGATGATTTTGATGAGATTGAACAGCAAAGGGCCATTATCGACAGGATGGACGAGGAAACAGTCAATGAGAAGTTTGAGGAAATGCTGGTAATTGGGTATTTTTTTTATTGATGAGTTAACCCGGGAGGCACCCTTAATTCACATTAATTGGGTTATTTCCAAGTAGAGGGGAATTGGGATCAATGGCGAATGATTTATTGATTAATTGATTGTGACTGGAGTGTCATTACACCGAGCTGTAACAATGGATTGGTGATGAAAGCTACTTTGCGGTAGAGAAATTTATGGTGTCATAACGCCGTTGGCGAATAGGCCTTGAAATACTAGAAAAATATAGTTCAACTGTTGATGATTTGTGATTTATTTGTTTCGATGTCATTAAATGAAAAATAAAATGAAATGATAAATTGCCTTGAATTGTTAATGATCGATAAGAAATAAAAAAATTAATTTTTATGAATTTCAAGGCAAATATGAATTTGAAAGAAGACAAGAAGGAGCCCTTGAGACAACAGCCAGATGCAAAGAAAAAAGAAATGCTCGTTCTTCATTACAAAGGCAGTATTCAAGAGAATCGCTCAAAATTCGACAGACCCGCTGATTATATCCAGTATTTGGCACAGCCTGACTTGAGTGTCAACAAAATATACAATTGCATCGAGTCACTGAGAATTGCCCTCACTAACAATCCACTTAGCTGGGTCCAGGAATTTGGCACAAAAGGATTGAAACAAGTGTTGGCAACGCTCAATGAGTGCTACAGAAAGTGAGTACTTATTATCTATTTTACGATCTCCAATTTTCACATAAATGACAGCTGTTTGTTTTACATAATGCTGTTGATGCCTTACATCCACACCCACTAAGTTTAATGATCATTTTATCTATTTAATGCATTCCAAAGTGCTTCTGTTCATCACGATAGGTAAATAATTAACTCATCTTAGATTTTAATGATGAATTTCATATGAAATATTAGTCACTATTTCATTGGAAGTATTGAATCATATTATCTGGTGAATGCGAATTTCCTACAGCCAATGTAAATGTTCTCTACACTTGATTATTTCCATGAGAGTTTCATGAATAAATTTTAAAACAATTGTATTGATTTCCAGTGACAATCGTTACGAACGAATACAGTACGAATGCATAAGATGTCTGAAGGCGATAATGAACAATACAGGGGGAATGAAGGAGATGCTCGACCACCACGAGGCATTGACGATAGTAGCTCGTTCTCTTGAGCCCAGTAAACCATCGGTGATGTACGAGGCTGTTAAAGTTCTGGGTGCAGTCTGTCTAATCGACAGTGACAGTCACAAGAAGGTCCTCGATGCGATAACGATGAATGGAGAGTTCAAAGGACGCGAGAGGTTTCAACCAATTGTTCAGGGCCTGATGAATAAGCAGAATGAGAATTTGAGGGTTGTATGTCTGCAACTGATAAACTCTATAATATCCTCAGCTGACGATCTCGACTTTCGACTGCACCTTCGGAACGAGGTCATGAGAATTGGATTGGCGGATATCTTAGAAGCACTGGAGAGAGACGAGTCTGAAGACCTTACAACACATTTGAAAATCTTCAATGATTACAAGGAGGGAGACTACGAGGAGTTTGTCCAGAGGTTTGATCACGTGAGATTAGAGCTCGATGATGTCAACGACTGCTTCGAGGTTGTGAAGAATATGGTGATGGACACCATGGCAGAGCCCTATTTTCTCTCGATACTCCAACATTTGCTCTTCATCAGGGATGATGCTCTAGTGAGGCCGGCTTACTACAAATTAATCGAAGAATGTGTCTCTCAGATTGTTCTCCATCGTTCTGGCTGTGATCCAGACTTTTCAGCAACAAAACGCTTTCAAATAGATGTGCAACCATTAATCGATACCTTAGTTGAGAAATCGAGGGCTGAGGAGGAGAGGAGGCTAGTCGAGATGTCCCAAAAGCTTGAGGAAGCGATATCAAGTAAACAGGAGGCAGAGGCCAAGCTTCAGCACGCTGAGAATAAAATCAGGGAATTGGAATCTGGTGGTGGAAGGATAGGTATAAAAATGGGGGCTCCTCCACCACCGCCGATGCCAGGTATGGTTGGTCCACCTCCTCCACCGATGCCAGGAATGGGTGTACCACCACCTCCACCGATGCCAGGTATGGGTGGGCCACCACCTCCACCGATGCCAGGAATGGCTGGACCACCGCCGCCACCGATGCCAGGCATGGGTGTTCCTCCACCTCCACCGATGTTAGGCATGGGTGGCCCGCCACCACCTCCAATACCCGGTATGGGTCCTCCACCACCTCCTGGTGGATTTAGATCACCTCTTGCAGGGGCTGTTCAAGTATTGCCACACGGTTTGAAACCCAAAAAGAAATGGGAAGTCGATGGGCCTCTGAAGAGGGCCAATTGGAAGGCTATTTTACCCCAGAAATTGAGTGAAAAATCTTTTTGGGTTAAAGTACAAGAGGATAAACTAGCTAGTCCGGATATTTTGAATGGTTTGGCACAGAAATTTTCGTCGAAGCCTGCGGGTAGAAAAATAGATGATGTCGTGGACAAATCAACAACGAGTAAAAAAGTCAAGGATCTCAAGGTTCTCGATGGCAAAGCTGCACAGAATATTTTGATTCTTCTCGGGGGGACATTGAAGCACATGTCTTACGAGGAAGTTAAGAGCTGCCTGTTGAGATGTGAGGGACCTGTGATCTCTGACAATGTCCTCCAGGGCCTCATACAGTATTTACCACCACCTGATCAGCTCACCAAGCTTCAAGCGTTCAAGGATCAGTACGATGATCTCACTGAGGCGGAGCAATTTTGTGTGACGGTGTCTTCCATTAAAAGGCTCATGCCGCGACTCAGATCGTTAAGTTTCAAGCTGAGATATGAGGAAGTTGTTCAGGATATTAAACCAGACATTGTTGCCGGTACAGCTGCCTGTGAAGAAGTTAAGAGCAGTAAAAAATTCGCTAGAATCTTGGAGCTCATTTTATTACTCGGTAATTACATGAATTCTGGCTCGAAGAATGGACAGGCGTTTGGCTTTGAGATTAGCTTCCTCACGAAGTTGACTAGCACCAAGGATGTCGAGAATAAACAGACATTGATGCATTATCTAGTGGATACTATTGAGAGGAAGTTTCCAGAGTGCTTGAGCTTTGCTGAGGAGTTACTGCATGTCGACAGGGCCAGTCGAGTTTCAATGGAAAATATTCAGCGAACACTTAGGCAGATGGAATCGAATATTAAGAATTTGGAACAGGATTTGGCTAATTCAAAAATACCGCAGAGTGAACAGGATTGTTTCATTGAAATCATGTCACCTTTTGCCAAGAAAGCGAGAGAATCGTTCGAAGTTATGCAGAGTATGTACAAAAATATGGAGACACTTTACACGGATATCTCAGACTTCTTCGCTTTTGACAAGCAGAAATATACGATTGAGGAGTTCTTCGGGGACATTAAGAAGTTTAAGGATGATTTCGTGGTAAAATATCAATTAATTATTCATTACTGTCGCAGTTTCACTTTACCAGATTTTCAGTAACAGATAACTAGCTTTACCAAATTTGAAGAGTCAATTTTTTAATTTTAGATGATTTTTTCTCTTTTTCAAATAAAATTTCCTATTGAATTTTATAAAATTTTTGACAGTGTAGTTATGAAAATATAGAGAATATAAAGGTTGAAGTTTATATGAATAGCGAAATCTATTGGATTTATCAGTGATAGGGTATTAATGCAGAATAATGATTGCAGCAAGCCCAGAAGGAAATCATAAAGCTGCGTGAGGGTGAGGAGAAGCAGAGAAGAGCACGTGAGGCACGTGAGAAAGCAGAACTCGAGCGTGCAGCACGTGCTGCACGTAAACGTGCTCTGGTTGACATGAATGCCCATGAGACCCAAGAGGGAGTAATGGATAGTCTCATGGAGGCGTTACAAACAGGCTCGGCATTCAGTCGTCCTGATCAACGAAGAAAACGTCAGACTCGAGCCGCTGGTGGTAAGTGCAAGCTCATCAGGACTAAAGATGCTTCTAGAATACTAAGATGGAATCCAAATGATCAGCCAAAGCTCTTCGACGGTGCACTAGCGAGTTCAGCACACTTAATTAACTCAGAAATTCAAAATGTATTATCACCGATGGGTCCTCTACCCTCTCTATCCACAGCTTTTAGTTTCTGCAACACACCCCAAGACAATCAGTCAGAGCTGAAAGATTGTCTCTTAGACGCCGCCATGAATGCCCCTAAACGTGAAAAATTTATAACTAGAGTCTCCTCTTTCCAAAGATTACGACGTAAAGCCAAGAATAGTCCCACATACCGTCACATCGATAATTCTCTCAATTCCCCGATGTTCGGTAAGACCCCTCATCGTGCAATCCCCACAAAAGTTCAGAAAAATCTCCGAAAAATCAATAGAAGTGATAGCTGTGACTCCAACGCCGATCCAAGGTCCACAGCCTCTCCTAACCGTAGGAATTCTACCTCATCCCTGAAGGAAAAAGTATCGAAAATGTTCCACTTAACAATTCCCTACGACTCCGTAATTGGAGAGCTCAAGAAAAAATCCAGTGAGGGAATCTCAGCTCCTCACAACACACCCTGTCAGACACCTGTTATCGTCCTTAGTAAACCATCGTTGTATAAAGAGACGCTGCTGGGTGAGGCTAGAAAGATGACGCCGGTTAAGCAACGCAGAATAATTGTGGGTAAACGCAGAAAGAGGAACAACATGGTGAGAAGGGCTGTTGTTCAGAGGAAAAAACAAGTGAGGAGGAGACGAAGCCTGGGTGATTATCTGGGGAGTCCACCGAGCATGAACTCCTCGATGCCAGACCTCGCTTTTCCCTCTACTCCCAGGAATATTTTTGAAGTTGATAACACCTTCCAAAGGAACTTCTTATCTTTTGACGATATCAGCTCTAAAAATCAGGGGAGGGACTGTGGATTTCTACCTAGAACCAAGAACTTTGATGACATCAGTAAAGTTCATGATGAGAATCAGAACAGTATTGTTGTGAGGGACAGTGATGAATCTGTTTTCACTTCGGCTGAGGCAACGCCCAAGAAACTTGATGCGTCTGATATGGAGCATCTCAGTCCTGGGGGAATCAGTGGAATCACTGAACTCTCTCATAATATCAACAGTCCATACTTTTCTGCCAAATCCACAAGCAGCATCGCTGGTTATCCTGTTACACCCATCAAAGTGGATTTGCAGAGACCTATTCACTCCCCGAAATTAGATAGTGTCTACAAATCCACCGTTTTACCGGTTACTGAGAGGAAAAGGTGGAAATTTTGGCGCACTCCCGACACTGATAATACAGTGGTTACCTTGAAATATAACAAATTGAGATTGAGTGATAGCGATCTTGTTACCAAGATGAAGGGATTCGTCAATAAATTCAAAAGTCCGACAACCGATGACTGATGGTTTTTTGTTATCGATTTTTATAATCAATTTTTCAAGGCACTGGTTATTACTTTTGCCTGTTATTTTATGAGATAACTATAGAATTTTTTGTGATCATTGTAAAGAGAAATGAGATTGTGATTTTTATGATTTTTTAAAATTTTTGTAATTAAAAACGTTTTTTGTATATCAAAGTTTTATTAAATGCACAATGATTTTTTAAGAATGCGTGGGGTAGTTTTGATTCTATTGTGATTGTGAGTGTTTTGGGAATTCGAGAGATAAAGCTAACTCGGATAGATATAACAGAAGTTGTATTTGGGAAAATATCGGGTATGAAGGGAGGGATTACCCGTAATCCCTTATTTCTCAATCGGTAGTACAGCAATACGAGGAATATCTTTTTTTCGTTTGTTTACATTTTGAGGAGGATGAGGGCTTTAATATCGTAATGATAATGGCTACAGGTGTCACGAGTGCCAGATTCGAAGAGTTTTGGTTGATATACATTCGTTTGAGTGAATAAAAATGACAATTGTAATTGATGAGGACAAGCCAAATTGTTAATTGAATAATTTAATTTGTTTACAGCGGAGAGACGGGCACAACTCAATCGGAGTAGATCTCGGACTGGGCTCGTTGGTACAGGACTGCTGGGAAGAGAATTATCCACGTAAGATAACAACTTTAAAACCAGTAATTATAAGAGACGTGATACTTAAATGATTGATCTTTTTGAAGGGAGCTGTTGAGTTCGGCGTAATAGTAGATTGCAGAAGAGTAGTCTCCGTCCCATTTATTGATGCTGTGATGATTTTATACTTCAAAACGCGCACATCGTTGTCAAATGTAACAGGCATCACGAATAATGATTGACATTAGCGAAAAGAAATCAAGTCTTCCTTTCAACGCGATGATTTTTTCGTAAGCACAAGTTGCCTTAAATCATTCAGTTAATGTTTGAAGGTGAAATTTTTTTTTCACACTGTACATTAGTGAGGGGTGTATTTTTTTTTAATTCTGAAAGATTTTTGTATGAAGATTTTACCAGCAAATTTTTGGCTGGAGGAAAACTTCAGCTCGTTCATTTTTTACATTACTATCGTTGTGCACAAGAGGAACTGGGAAGGACAATGCCAGATTTGAGGTGTAGAAACCTCAAATGCTCACAATTTTGTAATACTGTTTGCAGTTTTATGCGAAGTAATTAAGTGTATGTACATAATTGCAATTTATCATGTGAAAATAAGGCGAAGATGAAATAGTCATACTTGTGCATTCAAGTGAAAGGATGTAAATGAAATTGTGAAAAATGGTTTTTTTATTAAATTTTATAAAACACGAGGCAATGCACGAACTCTTGCGTTTTCGTTCGATTGAATCTCAGTTCAATTATTTTGCATCTTTCAGAACAATGGAGGATTATTGTTATGCAATTTGCAGCAGTGCCCTGTATATTGTGTTTATTACATTTTATACTTTATTCATAATAAATTCGGTATGTCAGCACTGCCTGGAAAATATTGTTTGAGTTTTTTATCCAAGATTCAACGTCATTCGCTCTACAGTTCTTGTCCATAACTGCGCAAAATAACTATATAAGTTTCATTCCAATACAAGTTTATTGTGACGAATCGTCGGTCAGGTCTCGCATGCCCACAATTTATTTTTGTAAAAATGATTATAAAACAAAGATTTATAGTATTTCCATATAATTATTTATTATAGTATCATCATAATTGAATAAATAAATCTGATAACAATTCTTTTGATTCTGCATTTTTACCACCCGATTTTTTAAAAATAAAGACTCATTTCATACGATTAATATTGAATTTCATTTTCTAGATATCAAAAACGACCGACGTATGTGGAAATATTGAAATGAAAAAATATATCTCGAAAAATCCCGCCCGTACGTATTAGAAATCCCCCTTTATGCACTAAAGAATCATAACCTGAAACATAGTTTGACATTAAAATGAGTCCTGGATGACACTTGCAGTCATGACTCTCGGATTTATTCAAAGATCTTTTATCTACCTCCACAACAGTTTCCAGAAATAGGTGAGTGCAGCACCTTCTGCAAATCACACTCCTATACCGCTAGAATCATCGAAAAGGATATGGCAAAACCTCATGACACCACAATCATCATACAAAAGCAACAAAAACTCCGAGTTTCTCCAGTCATTAACATTTTTATTGGTCTTACAGCTGCAATAACATTCTCAAGGGTACGAATATCACATTTACTATTCCTACCTTATAATTATCACACATTAATGACCATAATTAATCCGAACTTCGGACAACTCAATAAAGTAATACAACTGAAATAATATCAGTCCGTTCCACTCAATCAAGGATGAACCTCGTGACAGCTGCACTACAAACAGTAGGTCTTATATTATATATTTTTTCCCATTGTAGCGCCCTGGAATCTCTGATCATCTCATGTAATGGCCGAGGAACAACCTGATAATGACCAGAAGACGATCATTGACCTCTCCGAGGAGAATCTCTTTGAGTTACGTTGCCTGATCAAAGCCTCAGGGATAATCCTCAGTGCAAGATGTGAAGTGGGTCGTCGTCAGTTACTAGCCTTTACAACTCGTCGAATAGACGTGGGGATCTACTACCACTCAGACATCCACAACCTTCCAGTGATCAAGAGGATCCCATGGTACAGAGCCCCAAATCGAGCAATTTCTGCCCTCTGCTTCGATCCTACAGGCTCGTGGCTCCTGGCAGCGAGTACAGATGGTTCCTTGCATATTCTTCCAGCCCTGGCTCTGGTGGACGACACCCAGGTCGTCGATCATAAATGGTCCACCAAAGATGTCACCCCTATATCTGTCATTGACCTGCAGTCCTCGTACTCTCGCCCCACAGCCCTGACCTGGTGGCAAGGTGTTACTCAATCGAGTCACATCGGCGTAATTGGCACCGAAGATGGAGAGGTCGTTTTCATTAATTTGGAGAACGGCCAGTGGATTGGCTCAACACGAGTCAGGGGCTCCATATCTTCCCTGGATATCTGTCAGGACAACAGTCTCGAAATAGTTTCCCTCCTCATCACCAACAAAACACGACAGCAATGGCGATTGGTCCTGGAGCAAAGGACCAACGGATGCATCTTCTCCCTCCATAAGAGCCCCTACCACTCCAGAAATATCGAGCACGTAGAGGAAACCAAAGCCTTCCCCACCAGGTCTCGTCTCCAGGGCTTGAAGCAACTGTCAGTAGAGAAACTAGCCTCTTTAAAGCAAAAACTCGCTGAATCTCGAAATAAAAATCCCCAGACGTCAGTGTTTCGTCAGGATAGTGGCAGCAGCAGTGGTACCGATGACCCAGATCTTTCCGGAAGAAAGGACACCCTAGTAGCTCCTGAATTCCTTTCAGAAGACACTCATCTGTCTCCTCAGTACACCAGACAAGGTCAGCACTTATACACAGCTTACTGCGAGGCTACCAATCGCATCACTATCCACGGAACTGACGTCTCTGTCGTTCCTCTTCACATGTACAAAATGCCAGACATCTGCTCAGATGTTCTCCTTACTCAAAGACTCTTTTTCACAACTGGTCCCCGAAGAAGAACCCTGTGGATGATCTCCTGTCCTCTCTCTGAGGTTCGAATAGATAACTCTGAGGATTCTCATTTCAACCCCGAGTCCATAATCTCCAGGTTTCACTTTGATGACGGTAGGGAAGTAATCACCCACATCTTCAGGGCGTCAGACTACAAACTGACCACTGATGATCAAACTTCCAAGGACGATAAAAAGAAGATCTTACCCTCAAAAATTGACGATCTCAACGTTGAGGTACCGCCGGTAGACACATGTATTGTTGTCACCAACTGTGGCATCTACAAAGTCGCCCTGAGGAGGCCTTTGCTGAGTGTGTTCATGGAACTGGCACTAAAGAATAATAAGAGAGATATTGAGAAGGCTGCACGACTCGGACTAGTATTCGGTATTAATGTTCCTCAATTATTTGAATGCGCAGGGGATATTCATCTTGCCAACAGCAGATTCACGGAGGCAGCTGCACTCTATAAATTATCGAGATGCAGGCTGTTGAAGGGAGTGCTGAAAACTGCAGCGACAGGGCACACTGAGAAGCTCCTGGGCTGCCTAGGGCACTGTCTGACCCCACCAGCAGTCACTGAGCTCACCACAACGACTCGCATTCACTTATCTAATCTAACAGTTTTCGCATTCAGTGAATTAGTTCTGCGCGCATCTCCTAACGATGCCACTGGCATCTACAAAGATTTCTTACAATTTTTATCGAGGAATACGTACTACGATGAACGCTGGGTGGTGGACGTGGTAGGCCAGACATGTCTGTGGAAGGTCCTCCACCATTTAGCAACACAAAGAGGTCTCTACGCCCAAGTCCTCGATGTTCTCGTTAAGGCAGTCCAGTCCTATCCTTTATCATCGGGGTCTCCTCTCAACAGCAAATACGGACTGATGATCTGCATCAGTGAGTCCAATCTATTGCAGTCAATGCTGTCGACGCCTTTCTTAGCCAGAAGTCACATGTCTTTCGTCCTCTCAAATCTTCAAGAGTTCCAGGTGTTTGTTCTCCAGCGATTGGTCACCTTGTACGATCCCACGAGCCCCATATTTAGACCGTTGTTAGTCAAGTACAGAGCCAGGCGGAGGACAACATCGCACAGTTCACAGTCGAGTCAATGTGACTCTCTAGACTCCTCGGATATTCTCGATGAAAGTGGCTCACTAGTGGAGGAATTGATCGAAACATTTCTCTACCTATTGCTAACACTCATCAGTAAACGTTCCCCTGTTCTCAAGCATAATTCCTCTTTAGTGTCGAAAATAAATTATCCTGGAATTGAAAAGCGTCACAATATTGTGACGAATGTGAATTTCAAGAGGAGATTGTTGTCCGCAGGCTATGGACACGCAGCTCTCATTAGAAATGGAAACGTCTTCACCTGGGGATCGAGTTCTCATGGTTGTTTGGGTACTGTGCCATCGATATCGAGATACGGATCACCCCAGGCTATCACCGTCTTCAAGGCGATGGAGATGGAGGTCCTGAGTGTCTCGTGTGGACGAAATCACACACTGGCAGTTACTAATAATGGAGTTTACGCTTGGGGAGGAAGTCAATATGGACAGTTGGGTCTTGGAAGAGTTCTCCAGTGTCCCAGTCCAGAGTTAATCACTTCTCTGGCTCAGGAGGTGATCGTGGATGCTGTAGCAGGTCAGTACCATTCGGTGGCACTCACAATGGACGGAAGGGTTTTCACTTGGGGGTGGGGCGTACATGGACAGCTTGGACATGGCAACACAAAAGAAAAAAACGTCCCAACTCTGGTTGAATCTCTTCTTGGAATTGTCATAAGAACAATCGCAGCTGGACATGCTCATACTATCGTTTTATCCGATGATGGAGCTGTGTATATTTTCGGGTGCAATATTTTCGGCCAATTGGGGACTGGTAACACCACCAAATCCACGGTACCAATCCGAGTTTCTCTTCTACCAGAGCCAATTTCAGATATTGCCACGTCGTACTTTCACAATTTGGCTCTTACCACCACGAATAAACTCTACACGTGGGGGGCGAGCCCCCAGGTACTTCGTCTGCAAACACAAGCCCAGAAGAAGTCGAAGCTACTGGAATTCCAAGCAGCTGCTAAGAAATACGCGGAGAGTCTGGTGGATTTTGATCCCAGTATCGAGTCAGGAGACGAGGAGCCGACAGACATCTCCTCCATCGAGAAATTAGCCATGAAGACGGTGAATGAACGACGACAGAATTGCCCAAATGTAGCGAAAATCGTGGTGAGCCTCAGGGACATAAACTTGGGGCTTCTTGAAGAAACACAGACGCATCTGAAGCCTTCCCTCGTGGACACACAACTGGTGAATGGTAGAATAGTTCAAATATCCACCGGCTGTCATCACTCTGCTTTGTTAACGAAGGATGGAACTGTCTACACCTGGGGGAGGAATCTAGACGGTCAAATTGGAAACAGAACACGAAAGGACGTCTCCATTCCGACCCCTTTGAGCTACAACGCCGTGTCGATTCTCGCACAGGTGCCTCCAAGGAACAACTCCAGACTTCGAGCTCAGAATAACGAAGAGGATGCAAACATGAATGATACCAGAGGTGATATGATGCACCTGGGGACTGCGACATTGAGGGTGTGCTGTGGATGTGAGTTCACAGTGGCTATTCAGCCTGGCGGAGGTGTTCTAGCTTGGGGGAGCAACAGTTTGGCACAGCTGGGTCGTCCTCCAACAAAAGAGAGCGGTGGAAATGTCGCTGAGAAACTGGTGCTCATCAAGTCCTCTAAACGAGTAGTGAGGATGCCCCATGGGGCTCATGTTGCTCAGGATTCTCCCAGTTTAGTTCCCCACATTCCCACTCCGATTATAACGTACCAGAGCTATGATGTGACACCTCTCGCTGGCAGAGTGAGACCTCTTAGCCTCGTTGAAAAATCCTACGGTGATCTCACTCTTCATTATGCTCTCGAGCAATTCAATGGTATTTATGACGCTGGGAAGATCATGGAGAAGTGCGATGAGCTGGAGAATTATCAAGCGAGATCGAAGCTAGCATTGTTGGAGCACAATTACTCGATATCACTTGCTTATCAGTTGAAAACTCTCAATCCTGATAATTATAAGACTGCGCCGATGTCTTCCGTTGATGATATGACTGTGAATGGAGTGGATGGAGTGAATGGAAAGTCTGATGAGAAGGTGAGAGAGAATACAGAGCTCTTCGTCAAACAAGTGGAGAAAAATATCGTGGATTCTATGGAGGAGCATGAGACTAGGAAGAGGGTTAAGATGTCGACGAGCAAATCGTTGGATTGTATTCAATTGATCGAGCAGGAATTGCATACATTCGACTGTCAGGGGGGCTCTGAGGAGTTGTGCGAGGACGCCAGGAGTGAGGACAATGTATCATTGGATCTGACTGAGGGTGCACTCGACAACGATGTTGAGGAGATTAATCAGTCGAAGAACAGAAATGACGATTTTAATGGGGGATTGATCTCAGTTGAGCCCTCGAAATCCTCTGATCTCATGACTGCAGACGCACTGAAGATTATTAGATTCTACGTTAATGAAATCGATGAGACTGCGCACAAAATAATGCGACAAGTGCTGCAAACGACCTTTGATTTTTGGATAAAGAATAAATTGGATATGGAAGTCCTCGAGGGATTATTTTTAGAGAATTCAAACAAGTTGTTCTATCCCCTGGGATTGCTGCTGTTTTGTAATCATGACGTTGAGGCATCGAGTCCCAAAATCATGGATCATGTGTCAGCTAAATTTAGTCTACAGGTCTGCACGTTGATACTTCGTCATATCGACGAGGGAAAACCCAGTCTCGAGTACATCGAGCTATTTTCCATGCTCATGGACAGGAGCTATGATCCTCCTATCACTGGGTATTTGAGCTCCAGGGAGAGTAAGACCCCTGGGGAGATGATGGAGGACATCATCAGCACAATATCTTCCAAATCCAGTGATCCCAGACCTTTCATTCATATTAAGGATCCAGAGGCTGTTTCGCAATTTCTAGAGTCGGATGAGGACACCATTGTCTTCACATGTGGTCATCATTTCTCAATGTCTATTTATCAATCTGAGGTACTACCGAATATGGAGGCTGAATTACTTGTTGCACAGCCACTACCACTACCTTGCACAGCGCAGGTATTAGGTAATATGCTTAGTCGTGTTTGTAAAATAGATATATTGTGCCCTCGGTGCGTCCCACGGGCGATACAAACAGCCGCCAAAACTGTCATGGAGAGATAATTATTCTTATGTGATTCATCGGGAGAGATATTGAATGACCATTTTTTTGTCGATGCGTAATGATGCGTAATGATGCGTAATGGAAATATTTTTCTGTTTTCGTGCAATGAATTCTTGAGTTGGCTGATTTCAATGTCTATTGATTTAAATTTGTGATCTTTTGGAGGAATTTTGATGATTATTTTTTTCTATCTTTCATTAGTCTGCGCACTTTTATGGTAATGTTTATTCTTTAATTTAGCACGGGAGAGGAGTTTTTACAGTCATTCTAAAATTTTGTTAGACGTTTACATGAATATGGTGAACTACTTAGACGTAATGGAACTAATAATACCACGGAATTGTTATTATTGAAATTTGTTAGATATGTGCAATGAATTAATTAACGAGTTATTGAAATTGTTATCATTTCACTGACAATTCCAATGTGTTTTAAACTTTTATTGTAATTAAATCCACCTCAACTAATGATCCATGGGTATTACTAATACGTACTAGTCAACGGTTTTTCAACGGTAATCATTAACGATTATTGTTGATGTTTGTATTATTCTAGTAAATGAAAAAGAATCACAAATATATCGCAAGTGAATTAATGTCGAACTAACGAAATTGAATTGTAACAAAGTTAAGAACCATTAATTTAAAAAATGTAGGTGAAAATTTATTCAATTAGAGGAGAGGAGAGAGACATTGTGATGATACCGAGTACGAGAGGAAATATTTAGGCAGAATAATAAGAAATAAAACTTCAAAATCAATAAAAATTTATGTACAAAATTAAGTCTATTCAACAGACTCAATTATACAAAGTACTATTATTCCACGTGATTATCAATCACCTAGTTAATTCGTTCTTTTTTTCGCTGTTGCCTTCAAGTTATTAACATTTTTTAATATTTCATCTTCATGACTAAGAGAATTAATTCTATGGGTGTAACCAGCAAGTTGAACTTTCTCATTCTTCATTTAACTCGTTTCTTCTTTTTTTTTTTTCGGGGTTCGTTGAGAGGATTTTAATGGGAAGGGGTGGAGCATTATTTTGCTGAGTAGTGAGAGCCGATGTTAGAGGGTGGACCTCGGTGATGATGATGATGGTGCTTGTGACCTGGACCCGAGTATCTGCTTCCTGGACGTGAGTGAACAATCGCATAGTGATCGCTGTTTGTTGATATCGATCGCGTCGAGTTCATCGTCGATCCACCTGACGGATAGCCCGGTTTACCGTTCAGGGAGTATCTGAAATAAACGTTAACCATAGCCCAATAAACAGCAATTGCTTTTTGTCGCCATCGATTCGGGATATTCAAATAATTTTTACCACTGTTTGCCCACCGTTTGCACCTGAAGAAATTATTCCAATGAATCTCAATGAGTGAAAGCTCTAAAAACCGGTGAAAAAAAAAATTGCCACGGTACGTGGATATCCCGAAATGGCCCTTATAAATCATTGGAATGGGCGATATAAAAACAAGTATCAATTCCATCAAAAAATTTACTCCACGCAATCGATGACTTTTTCCAATTTCCATTGCATCCTCAAATAGTAAAAATAGCTAGTGCAGTTACTCGCACCAGATTGCAATGAATACACTGGTATACATGAATAAAACTGTTATCTCGAAATAAAAGATCATAGGTATCCCCAGTTGATCCTATAAAGGTAAATTCTGGTTCATCTTAAAGCACGAGACTGTGATAGGAATAATTCAGTGAATCGTTGAACCGTTATGGTATGCGGTTATACGCGAACCTTGGCGGATCTGCAGAGGCGTGTCCGCACTACGTGGATAACATGTATACAGCGTTGAGGATCAATTGACCGTGCACCTATTCTGACTCATAATTAATTTCTCCTTGTTTTCGCAGTATCTCTATAACTGCGCTACAATCCAGGCGAATCGAAATCCCCACAACTATAAATTTCCATTGATCGTTTTTCCATTGCATAAAATAATATCAGTCCATGAAAATTTTATGTGATAGGAAATTTCGGATTTAACGAATCCAATGATTCAATCTTAAAACAAAAAGGAGGAAATAAATTGAACAAACCTAGAGCCATACTGTGATCCTGGCCAACTGCGATATGGATCGTAATCTTCGATTATCGATGGCTCTTTCTCAATTATTTCCGTACGTGCACAGCTGCATGACATGGCTGAGCAGAGGAATATATTTATTATGAGCATTATCAAAAAGAGAATGCCAAAGGCTATGGCGAGCCATAAAAGCCACAAGGGGTGGATCGTCTCGGTGCCAACAGCCAGTGAACCTGCAAATCATTTTTTTTTAATTATCCAGTCATCCATAGGAATATTAAACGTGACAGGAATTGAGATTGAAGGAGACTTACGAGGCGTTTCACCAGGCATAAGGATGAATACACTGGTACCAACGAGGAGGGAACTCTCTTCGGCACCCACTGGCTCATCTCTACCCTTCAGACTTGATGATGGAGGATCTCCCTCGCATACGGGCACCCCACAGCTTCCTGTTTGTCCAAAGCATGATATATTGGTAATTGGGTATTCTGGGGACTTTCCCGAGTGATTATAATAGTGCGGGTTCGTTAGGAGATTGTGGGTAACTAGTGAAGAATATTATTGGGGGAATTGATGCTCCACTTGCCGCGGTATACCGGTTTAGAATGTACAGGGTTGGTTTGCTTGTGTTTCAAAGAGGTTCTCACATTCTCTATTGATGACTCTCTTCCTTTTGGTTTTGTTATTCTCAGAGGTGACGCCAATTCACCTCAGTAGGTGTCTATCAGGAGGAATACTCAGTGAAAAGTTCCCGGAATTTTCTCATTTTCAGAAATTTTTGAAAAAAAAATGAATATTTACTCTGTGAATAAAATTTGGTTACCGAGATTTTTTGACCGATCACCATTTAATTAAATTATTTTGATATTTCAGTAGTCAAGCGGTCAGATATACGTCAGTTTGTGGTAAATGACTCCTTTTCATGAGTTTATTAGTGTAGGAAATGATTTTTTGGGAAGAAAAAGAACTTGGGGGGATGTGTAATAATTACCTCTGCAGACAGCGACATTACACTGCAGATGCACCTGATCATGATCAGTAAGTTTGAACATAGTGATGATGGTAGCATCTGCTATTCCTGTCTTTTTATCATAAGTAAATTTGGTGATTCCCCTGGTGAGAGTGGGACAGCCTCGATCGTCGCTGAGGTAAACTGGATCTCTCGTTGCGCTGAATACAAAGCAAGACTTCACTCTCATCCCAAAGAATCCTGAACAAATTAAGAGAACCATTGAACAATGGGCGAGTTATCAAGACGTGTAATTGATCAATCATCGGGTAAAATATCAATGGCATATCCGGATACTATGGGTGCATTCCTGTGGAACGGGTGATCGTTTCAGACAGACGGGAGGGATTTTCAGGCGCAACGGTGCGCACTGGGATGATAATGAGCAAAAGTTACGAACCATCGGGCCGCGATATTTCCGCCCGCAGTGTGTAGTTGTGACTGAATACTGCCTCCTTCACACGACGACCATCATTATCCAGAATCGACAATGATACCGTTGATGTCTCGTTCCTTTAGAAATAAAAAAGTTAATCACAAATTCAATTGCATGTATCGTCTTTCCCAATACAGTGCACTGTTGAAAAATTATATTTTTAAATTTTAACAATTCTTCATCAACGAATCATTTAATTAAAATGCAAGCAATAATTCCTCTGAATTTAACAATAAAAATCCACTTTTCTGTAATTTTCCAAATAAGTGACAAATTTAGTGAGCGTTTCAATTGTCATCTTTCCCTGAATTTTCCCCACTTTCGAATTTTTTTAAGAATTAATAATTGATTTTGAGGAGACGGAATTTGAGAATTACCCGAATTCTACATAAATTCCATATTATTGTGTAAATTTAAATGTGAAGTGTAATTTTTCAAGAGTGAAAATCCCGATTGTTTAATTAATCCGAGCTATAAGTTGGTATAATTACTTGGAATTTGGGAATCCAGCTTTGCCACAAGTAATGACGTAGAACTTGTCATCAGCGAGTTCCAGAGTCTTGTGTATTCTGACAACAATTTGGAGGGATCTCTCATCGGTATGCTGTGAGGGCATTGATCAAATGGTTAATAAATAATTGCTTATTTCTCCACCCTCGAGTCAGTGTGATTTATGTACTAACGTTATTAACATGCACGCCACAGTAATCGGGTGCTCCCTGCTGCGCTAAAAGATTAATCCCGAGAGTGGCCTGTTTGGAGCCATTTCCAACAACCATGCACGGTGGCATCCTTTTGTCCTTTGCATGAACAGCACCAACAAAACTCTCATTCAGATTAACGCGTATTGTCATGAATCCAGCTTTGCAAGTCGCCGTCACCGTCGGCTGGAAGTCCGTATCCAACAGTTGGCCACTGACCTGGAACTGCAATTTCGTGTTACAATGACAATCAGATTGTACTGAAAAATAACATTGTCGATTGATTCATGTCGCTGTTGTTTTTGCGGGTATCACTGACTCGTCACATATTCATCAACATTATACAGAGAATTTATTGTGGAAATTTATCAGAACGATCAACAATAAATCTCCCTAGATATATCAAAGTTTCCCATAAAGATTTCACTTTATCATTTTTATTTGCGCGCCTGTTGATTATTCTCCATTAATTCGATATCATAAAGCAAAACGCTTGCGTTTAAATGTTCAACGAAATATTATATACTGATGAAATAAAACAAGGCTTCAATCCACAGGAAAAGATTCAACGCAGAAACTCTAAAATTGCCGATTTATTATTCTGTTGCTCGATTCTCTGTTCATCGCAGAGGAAATCCCAACTTCCTGAATAATTTACGGTACAATTACATAATTCCAAATAAAGACCTGAAACTCCAGCGGTCTATCATCATACAAATCCTACAAACCAGCCGCCAATAAATATCAGCTTTCTAAAGTTTATTAAACGTGCGAGTGATATCTAAACATTAATCAAAAATTCTCAATCGACATATTTTCGTGAAACATGCATTACAACTCCCTTATCACCAATCCGATAATATAAATCCCGTGTTGGGACCGGTTTGCAAGTTGCATTTTGTCGCGTTGAGTTGTCCAACGAGAAAAAGGTGGGGATGGAGACTTGTCAACCCACGCACAACTTTCAATTTCATGCCGGCCCCAGAAGAGCTACCCAACCCACTTCTTATCCTCGATGATATTATATATGGTGATACATAGTAGTATTTCTTATCCCCGATGATATTATGATGATGGAGGCCCAGGCGTGGCATTCAGGATTAGCCGCGAGACCATGTTTTTTCCATTGGTCTGAAACTTTCGATTGATTAAGACGATTAATTCACATTCACGAAAGCATAACAGAGGAAGATGTGCTGATGAGAGTGCACATCAGGATGACTACAGTCGACAATTACCTTGTGGTGTACCAAGCGTAACCGTCGGCTTTATCGTACATGCCGAGAACAAGAGGTTTATCATCATTTCAGAGAAAGCGAGGTTTTTCAAACCAAATGTTCTCGAGGAAAATTGCTGTTTGGGAGAATTCGGCTCAAGGTGAAACTCCCAGAAAGAACATTGAACCCACTCACAGATGATGGAGGTATTTATATCTCATAATTCATTTGAAATTGAATAATTCATTGTAGGATTTTCAGTGAGTGACTTCCCAGTCGGTTATAATTTCAAGTGATGAAATAAAATCACTCAGCAGGTGATCGAGGGAGTTTGGAGATTTTATATTGAAGATGAGTGATTGGAAAAAATTCTCATTGTTATCAGTGTATTATTATCTCTTCAACCCATCAACATGGATTTTTTTTTAATCAAAAATAACTGGAGGAAATTGCTCCCACAGGGAGAAATGTGGATCAAGGTGGAGCTCCGGGGATATTGAACCGACGGAAATCTTGATGAAAATATAACGTCTTTCGTTTCGTAATCGTTCATGATTGGATAAGTCATTCCACTATTTTATCTCTGTGGAACTACCCATTGGTGAATTACGAGGTGGAGAAAAAATTGTGGAAAAAATCACTCAGCTCGTGAGGCCAGAACATTAATTTCAATATCTCCAATTGAGGTGGAATAATTGCGAAAAATTCCATCGTCGTTACTGTATTATTGACAATCCTATTGCCCTATTCCATCGAGTCACTCTTTTTTCATCTCAGTAATTGAATAATTTATTGCATAATTTTTTCAGGGAAACTCCTCCTTCAGAAGTCATAACTCAAGGTAGCAGCTCGATAAAAAAAAACACTCAATGAGGAAAGAAAATGAATGCTAATATGTGCCATCGACGGAGAATATCAAGAAAATTCCCTGGTAATCATCATCATCAGTCTATTATCCACTGATAATCTCCACAATTCTCTCCACAGGAAAAAACTAGACTATCCCAGACAACTTCACCCCCAACAAAAACCCACTCTCACCTCCTACGTAATCACAGCGAATGCTTATTAACCAAAATGACAAGAGTTCTCGCCGCAGCAATTTGTGTGATCCACTTTTTTATATCAATTCCCAGAGTACTCGCACCTTCACCGACTCATTCATTCAATTCGTCACTGGTGCGAGCATGAGTCTGCAATAGATTTGCCCTCTCATCCCCCGACATTTCTCCCTTTTTTTTTCATTTTTTTTGGCACGTGCTCGTGGCTTTATCAAACCGAGGCGAAAGTGAATTACATTAAATTACTGTTGTTGCGTGTAAGTTGAAAATGAAGGTTCGAGGCCAAGATCGCGGCATCGATTGGTTGTTTGAACAGGTGAGAATTGCGCGATTGAAGAGAAATAAAAATGGTATGAGAACGTAAAAGAGAAAAAAAAATACGATTGTAACAGGGGATAAAAATAAGTACAGGTTTTATGGTGATTTTAAAGTGGCGAAGGGCCAATGGTAGATCTCCTTCGCTTAACCAACATGAAATATAGACGAAATGTGGCTGAAGGGGTTGTTAACCTTGTTGGATACAACCAGAGAACCACTTCGATATTGCCTTTAGCATCGTGGTAAGGATGGTAACCCTTCGTGACTGTACATTCGAGACAAAAAAAGATAGTGAAAAAGATTCAAAGAGTCATTGCACCCTTTGGTTCAAAGGTGTAGTCGAGGATTCGCCTCCTATTCATGCGGATAATACTCATATACGTACGTTTCTTTTCTCACTAGCCTTTTTTTTACCTGTCGCTTATGTTTTTCATTTTTTTTTCTTCAAATCATTTTTCATTTTCTCTCCTTGAGGTTTCTCAAAAGAGCGAAAGTCTGTCTCCACTCAGTCTCAAACTGGTTTTGGTGATGCATTCCCATAAAAGGGTAGACCCCACTGCTAAATACGAATTGCATGTTGGCCCGCAAAACGACAGAGACGATCAACTGGTAAAACCATTTTTGCTGGTTACAAGGGAGGGGAACTCGGATTTTACGACGTGTGTGCGATATTGCATTCTCCTCTGTACGATGAGGAGTACTGGATCATAAATCTCGGAGCGAGACGTTCAACAATCTCAAAACGAGTATTCGAGAGGGTTTACCTAACAAAAGCCTCAGGGATTCTTTTTCAAAAGTAATTAATAAAAATAAATGGTGGGAGAAAATCCCTGGAGATTGCCTGCGGCTGTGGACTATTTCGAAATTGTTCTTTACCATTTGTTCATTCGCATTGAATGATTTTTCCTCCAATGCATAAAATTGGAGAAAGTTTTTCGGAAATACCTTCGAACCTAAGGGAGATAGCAAAATTAATAAGATAACATTTTCTTTGGGTTTCAATTAGCTCTACAAAAAAGATACTAATAAAAATTTGGCTATCTCCCTCGAGTTCGGAGATAATTCCGAAAAACTCACTGAAGAGATGAATTAACTTGCCTCGCTCCACCTCTTCGGCGCAAACCCCTTTTTCCCGTGAGACAGAAAAAAAAATTGCACATTTTCATCGCATTATTTTCCAATTAATTACGCAATTTTTCACTGAGGAATGAAGACGACACAGACCAACAATTTATTTCGAAAAAGAATAAAAATAACAAAAAGTCTCACGTTCCAAATTCTCGGTAAATGATACGTTCCTTTGCCTGAGACCGAATAATTCCTACACCGCGATGCATCTCAAGGCGAACGACATAGCCGTATGTCACGGTGGTACAAAACGAGCTATAGTTTTCTCCAGAGTTGAGTAAAAACAGAGACAAATAACCGCGCGAAAAAATGCAAATGAAACTAAAAGAAAAAAAGCCCACTGAAAGAACCAACGTCTCGTAGGCTGACACAATCAGTGGGCGGTGTCAGGGTGTCCATGAGGTGTCCTCACTTCACTTTGTACTCAATTTACAGTATATATAATCATGTAATCGCCCCACGTGCGCGTAACAGTATCTCTCAATAAGAAGCCCCTCGAGACAAAAAAAAACCGCAGCATTTCTCTTCCTTTCTCTTCTCGTAAACCCAAACAAACAGATCCGTAGTTTCCAACATCTTCAAGCCTACTACAGAACAATAACAATTCCATCTCAAAATGGTTAACGATTCCATTAGCATTTTTAATCACGTAAAAAGCATCACGACCGCGCCCCAAAGAGCTCCGGCATCTCGCTGTCCAGGAATGCAGCATCTTCCCGTGACTAATCCCCTTCGACAGTTCAAATAAACAAATTCATCATTGAAAAAATTGCGTAAAGACTTCTATTAGATAATCCCTCATGCTGAACTCGTCTCAAACCTGTTATTTTTTTTTTCACTTGAAAACGTGGATTTTCTGCTGAGATTGCAAACTTGGAGGTGATCTTCCTGAATTAAGCTCGCAATATTTTCAGAGACCTGAGTTGTGAACTGAATTTTTATTTAAATTTTCATCTGATTTCTGATGAAAAAAAGGTCCTGCAATTTGAATGCTCTCTAAAATACTGATATTTTTTTCTGTCTTACCTGTTGGAGACTCAGCAAGAAGAGCAACCACCACATGTTCCTGATAAACTCACTAAATCCTGTGCGATGCATTGTCATGTTGAACCTCATTCTGGTGTTTCCACTGTAAACTTGTCTCAATCACACTTGTTGACTAGTTACTTCAGGGAAAAACTCAATTGTTCATTCACTGGTGATGATTAAGACTGTCTTATCACGTTACATTGCGATCAATGTGTGAGCACTTGGTCGTCATGACGTTGGAGAATCATTAGAACATTGGTGTGTAAAGTGAAAATAATTTAAAACGCAATTTCGGAGCACCTGAGGATTCACGGTGGTATAAGAGCACAAGCCGAGTGGAGTTTCAGTTGTGCGGGCTCTCAGATGTGTTGGGAATACCTGACGTTTGGAGAGGGGCCTTACTACTCAGGCCACTTTCAGGGGACTAGGGCCCCCACCACTATCGAAACGTGCGTTTTACTTCAAGTCCTGAGAGTGGGGGGAGCGACTCCAGAGATTCCGAAGACGATTCCCGCTATCCATGCGTTCATGTCTCCGGTTTTTCAGATGATGGAATTTCAATGGAGAAAGGCTCTCCAAATTACATTGGGCTTTACCTGATTGTGGTGAACCACTTGGTGGAGACACCTGTCGGTGGAAAATTTGGAGAACAATATAATGAAGATTATCTGGAGAGGAATGGCTCTTTGGCTGTTGGTAAGATCAAGGAGTTCAATAAGTTCTTATTTGGTCAAGATTTGAATGGTGATTACTGCTGGATTTTCGCAAAAGGATTGCATTCATGTTGCTGGTTTTTAGATGAGGGAATTTCAATGGGGAGAGGCACTCCACGTTAACTGATTGTTGTGAACCACTTGGTGGAGACACCTGTTGGTGGAGAACTTGGAGAACACCAATAATTGAAGATTACCTGGGGAGCGATGTGTCGTTGGCTGTTGGTAAGACCAAAGGATTCAAGAATCGTTGGTAAAGTATTAATGCTTCTCTCAGTTCAAATTTTTTTTATTATTGAACACTTAGAATTGAAATGTAAAATAATGTTATAATCAAATTTTTTTTCTCTGTATGTTATTGAGATTTTAAATAGGAAATTAAGTATTTTGCAATTATAAATAAAGCAATTGTCATGAAGTGATAAAATGAAATGAGTAAGTTATCTATTCGGTGATTTTTTGAGAATATGTCTGAAGTTACAGGAGATAGTGAAATATTTCTCGAAATTTTTTTCTGGAGCTAGTTGAGAATTATGAAAGTGGTTGTTACAAAAATTTTGCTAAAACAATTATTATTGCAAAATTAGGAAATTGGCAGCGAACAGATCATCCATCTCGAAGATTTGGAGTAATAAAATTCCCATATTGCAAGGCGCCTTTACCCGTGGCAAATCACGTTCGCTTTCCGTATTAAAAACCATCAGCTTACGTCTCCGTAATTTTCATGAGTAAACTTGCGGACAAACTAATCTCCACGTGAAAAAGAATTATCCCTGCCTGATGGATCTCGTCCATAAATAATACCTCGAAATTGGCTTCGTCTTGTTGAACCGTTTATGAGACAGAGAAAGTTACCGCAATACATGTTCAAACCAACCGAACAATTCTTCCTTAATTCATAAAAAATGAGACTCGCAGATGAAGCGACTTGTGGCAGAATCCCCAGGATAATTTATTCATTAATATCACACATGTACACACAATGGTACCTGTTTGATTTTCATTTCGATGACGTTCCCCCCGATGACACATAACTCATGGCTTTTCACCTCGAGTTTCCCATCCACTCTCTATTTCAAACGACCGAATTTTTTTTTTTGTTTAATTTACGCAATGTTTATAGAAGTCAGTATTGGCAAATAATTTATGGTAGGCGGCTACGATATGTGTATTTAACGCAATTTGTGGGTACAGGAGCTTGATATTTATTCTGGAGAGAATTTTCGAATCAGAGAGAACTCAAATATAATCGCTTTGACTTCCGTATCGACAACTTGATGTTTGATCATTGATTAGAAACAATTTCTAACAATTATCTTGCCATCAGCCACCGATAGCCAAATCAACTATTGAGTAAAATTCCTTCACTCGATTTCACCGGCTAAATTCACAATCATTGCAACAACATTTCGATATAATTTGACAGTAAATGTTTATGTTAAATCGGAAATTTCAGTAATTGAGGAAAATTTTCTGAAATTTTACTGAATTTTCATTGAATTATGATAATTCATATTTTTTTCTCCGTAGATCCCATTTAGTGTCACTCTCTTGATGTTTCTGTTCTTGTAATCTCGAATTGTTAACGCCTCATATGATGATGCATCGTTTTTATGTACATGATTCTATGTGAAAGTTCGTTAAGTGCCGAATAACTTCAGCTTTTATTATGTCGATGTCCTGATAAATTCATTCATCTTTGACCTTTATCACATCAGCTGACATGGAGACATCAACCCACGAGCTAAAGTAATTGGTGATGTAATATTGTGTTTGCTATACAGTTGAAGTAATTCACTCTCGAGTTTTTACATGCTTCAGATTTATAACGGCAAATTGAGGATTTAGTTAAGGGTTTCGAGCGAACTCTCCACTTTTTTTTCGAGGTAGAGATATAATTGATGTGACGGTAATTCAAGGTTCTATCTGTTTACGAGGGACAATTATGGTTTGAGATGTTATATATAATATAATTCGCTGTGCTGTTCAAGAATTTAGCTACCATTAGCCTGAATGTTTCGAACACCTGTTCCTGTTGTAGAAAGTGAATTTTAGAAGTGTCGTAAATACTTTATTGAATTCTTTCTTTCTCTTGTACTCCATCCCATAACAATTGATAAAGAATCCATCAAAGCTCGATGGATTCTTATTTTTTTACGCTAAAATGGTATCAGTAGAAATAATTATTATTTTCCATACAGTTTAAAATACAACTAGATGTTGCTATTGAAAAGTGCGCGCACATTAGCCTGAATACTTTGAATCTTTCCTTCAACAGGCATTTGGTATTGGCACGACCTGAAATCCGGATGACTGAGAGCAAAATATAGAGATCAGAGTTCGAATTCAATTTTTCATCAAATTCCGCAACACTTCCATGTGTCCTCCATGTTGAACAATTACTTCATTACGTACAGATCGACTTCGAAGTTGTTTTTGCTGAAATATTTAGAAAGTGAATTTCGTGCACGTTATAAATATTTAATTGAATAGTCTCTTTCTTCCATATTCCACGTCCATGAAGATTGACAAAAGACTTCATCAATAACAGATGTAAATTATGAATAAGATGGTCCACCTCGTCAGCAAATAATTGAAATTAAAATATCAATGACTCGAGTGACTTTAGTTTCACTCGGTCTAAAATGCCGAATCCTCGATTCAGCCTTACGTTCTCATTAGCATTTCGAAATAATTCTTTAAACTCAATTGCAGAGTGCTGAGAACGATAATCAAAATCAAATCTGAGGTGACCCTGGTGGTTGTCGACAATGGGTAATGCTAACGAGAGGCACGCGCGCATATTCAAAATCCTACCTGTGCGAAAATTACTTGAGAGTTGTTGAACGGTGTAGCAGCTCAGAGGGGTACACTCTGGAAATGCCCGGTTTAGGTGGAACATAAAAACGCGTCCTGGAGATTATGGTAGGAGGTGAATTGGCCCTCTTTCTTCAACATGTACATGGAGCCAGCAAGGAGTCGGGTAAGGGGGTACAATACCTATATAAAGAACGAATGAAGATGCTCTCAGCTATTCACTCTCACCTTTCTCAAGTAAGCGCTTATGCGCCTATCTTCTAACTAATTTTACCAAACAGTGCTAGAGTTTTTAGTTGATTTACACAAATTTCTGGCGAACTACTCAACGGATTCGTCGAGGTTCGTACAATTTTCTCTTTTCCATTTTCCATTTATTTATCAAATCATTTACAAGTTTTTGGTTTGAGATTTATCAGAAAGTCCTCATTACAATTTTGATATTTACTTCAGAATTCCGAGATATTCGTAGACGTCTGATCCCTCACGAAATAGAACTAGAGTGTTCTATCTGTTTGCTACCGAATAGCTCTCGTTCCACCACTTGTCCGAATCATTAAGGATTGAGTGGAATTGTTCCATAATTATATAACAGGTGCTGTGGACTTCCCACGCTCTTACAGGATTCCTAACAGTTCGGAAGATCTCTGAATCATAATTGTTTTTGACAATCGTAATCCTCGATTATTTATGCAACCCCATCTACTTTCTATTATTAGGTGCAAAGGTTGAATTGATGAGACGAGTGATCAATCAGCTAGTATAATGGTAATTGGTGATAGTCGTCAGGTCAATCCATGGCCAACAGGTCCTCCCCTGAATAAATGCGGTATTATGTTGACTTTCGCCATCTAATCCAGCGGCATGATAAAAATCTGTTGATCCATCGTCCCCAAGATCTCACTCGGCTGAATATCCATGGAATATCAGAACGCGTGTACCCACGACATTTATGCCTGACGAAAGCTCGTAATGAAAGTTGTAAACAGTTTATTCATGCGGGATCGGCTGACCACATACCGACTCTATTCACTTTTATTGAATTTTCATCGGTTGTGAAAATATCAAATTGACGGGCATTAACATGCAATCCGATATTGCATAAATCGTGAATTTTTGTCTTAACGCAGAACGGAATAATCAACAAATTTTATGCTTTAATGAGGCAATTAAAAAAACTAAAACGATGCACCTGACCATGGCCCAGCTTCGGTCCGCCGCGCAGATTCTGAGAGGTTGATTCCCCATTTTTTTCACGCTTTATTCAATGATTTCTTGGTTCTCCTTAAAGTGCGTACATTGATTATCAGTGAGATTAAATTGCTAGGTGCAGTGCGGGAAAACAATACCAACCGCAATGATTTTCAGGTCATCCAAACGTACTTTACCGATTTATTCTGCTTTGGAAAAAACATTTAATTGTACACAACTGAGAAGAACAATTTGAACACTAGAAAATGAAAAAATCTCGATATTATTGATTAACTTGGAGTCATCAGGGTTTACAATAAAATCCCCGAAACTTTATTCGCGAGAATGATGATGACCATTACGTTGATTAACAAAAATTCGCATGAACAATGATCCCTCTCGGTCACAAGAAATGAATAATTCTGGAGATTTATTCAAAGTACTCTCAGGTCATGTGTGTGATTCCGCAACTGCACTTCCGGGCGTTGAATTCACCCAAGTGAGAGCCTAATTACGTACACAAAGTACGAAAATACCGTACATTTCGTCATGTCCTTGAACAAAAACAAACAGAAATTGAGTGAAATAGACAATAAGGAAAACGGAAAGAAAGGTAAAGCCTGGAAATTCATGAGATTTTCATCTTGAAAAGTGAAGATGTTTGTGGTGTTTCGATGGTACACAGGATAATGTATATAAAATGTGATATTGCCACATCTGAAATAGCCCCCGGGGGCGTATACTAGCCTGTGGTACAGATGAAGTTACTCTCGGACCAACCGCAAATAATGATAAAATGTACAAGACGACAATGAAATAAGAAAAAAAAATCTACTACAGGAAGAAAAAAAAAATGACTCAGAGGGAATCATTGCGCGGACGACAGCTCAAATATCACGAATTCGCACGCTAATTATACCACGAAGCCGGGGTACAATGATACAATTATTAAGTCGAGATGATACAGCTCCCAAGCTCCCGCGATGTTTTACGCAAAAATTCCCCCACCCAGTCTAAAACACCATCGGAGTGAGTGTTAATTGGTGGATAATTAGACAGCTACAAGTAACTACTCATCCACCATTGTAACCCAGTGAATAACATATTTTCCCCCGGCCACTCAATTTCAATGTTTTCTCAATACCTGTTAAATTTTCACTATTTGCTAATAGCCATCATTGACGAATAATTACCAAAGGTTAAAACAATCGGTATTCCACATAATCATAATTTTCGTCTGAAATAATCCCAAGATTGCCAAGATTGCCCAGACATTGCACGAATCATTACTCAATTCATTAGCATGTCTCCAGTGATTGGACAAAAAACTATCAACATGTGGAAACTGAATCATAATTGAATGAATAATTTGTTGATTACCAAATTACAGAAATTACACAATTACCCACAAATTAATTCAAGATAATTACCTCCAACTGCTACCACAGAAATTTTAACTGAAACCTCACATCCTCCGTCTCCAGTTCTCTCCCATCTCCCTCTCCAACAATCAGAGGCATTTGATGTTCCGCGAGATCTCGAAATATCCGTGAATTTCTACCGACAGCATTTTCCACCAATTTTTTTTTTCTCCTCAATTTATTTTATATCCACCATCCTGATTTTTTTATACACCGAGAGAATCGAGCCACATGTATTCAAGATCGTGCCATCAAGATGAGTATACACGAATGAGACTTTCACCTTTCACCTCTGCTCCACGTACAAGAGAGTATTCGCACGACTCCTCCGCACCGAAGCCTTTCATCTCCCTCTGTCGCACGCTATCTGGGATCATTGGTTGGTTGAAGAAAAAAAGCCGATTGAATAATAGCTGAAACTGTGCACCATGTATCGTCAATAGTGAAAAGCTCATGACCGGGATATCAGATACAAGGTCACAGCGACAGGAAAGTTAACATCTAATACTGTGACAGTGAAAGTCTACTTTATCCTACCCCTATTGCTTCAGCCTGACCATTTCAATCAGAGAATCATTCAATAATCCATGATAATTCGTCCAGATGATGGACGATTCTGGGTGATCCACTGCACTCAAATAATCACTGACAACATCAAAATTGCATAATGATGTTTATGTATTTCTCATTTGATCCCTGATCTATTCGTATTCCTTTATCCTCGCTAAAACGAGAGAATTTACTCAAGGATGGAATATCCTCTTCATTCATTTCACAATGGGTAATGCTCGCTTTCTACTTTCTCAATGATCATCATCCACGATGATCGATAGTTACCTACGTGAAGAATTGTGTAATTTTATCGTCATTATGCCTCCAACATTTTGTATGCGTTTACATTTTATTCTCATCTCTCTTCAGTCTAATCAGAAATAAGGATGAGGTGGCACACAGCACTTCTGTGCACAACGGTGATCGCCCTCTCGAGTTTCACATACAGTCACGAATATGGTGAGTTGAATTTGAATAATAAAATTGTCGTTAAACTTATGCCATAATAGCCTCCTTCGGGCGTTATTCCTTTCCCAGGTTTTTATGCTCATAATTGCGCGTTGAGACAAACGTTCAGTTAAATTTTTTCATTGCACATGATTGCAGATAAAGAGGTGCTGGAGAAAAATACTAATAACTCTCGTTTGTATGACATTGACAAATATGAATAGCTATTGGGAAATTGATTTATATATGAAGATCGAGTAATGAGTTTAATCATTTGATTGAATGAGTTTGATGAGGAAATCAAGAGGTGCAATAATTAGATGATTTTCTCTTGTTAGAGCGGAGGAGATTCGTCAGGTCGACAGACTCACCAGCTGACATAATGGCTCGTAACATCCTGGATTGGATCCAGGGTATTTATCGTCAGGGAGCTCGTAAAAGTGAGTCTGATGAATATTACTTAATGTAGTCAGCCGACTATGTTATTGATGAAACTAATTTACATGTGACTTGGCACTCGTCACTTGCCGCTGCTCGATTCAGAGCAAAAAGGCGCTTTAAATTTGAGTTACGAGTGAAAGTGTGAATTAGCAGTAATTAACTAGGTAAAATTGGTTGGAACAGCAAGACAGGAGAGTAATGGGTACTTGCCGCCTTATGGTAGTCAGAGGCCGCCGGAAAAGCCGAGGCCATTCCAGCCAGCTCCAACCGGTGAACCATCCTATCCACCATCACCCTCACCCGGTCTCAATGAGGTCACAGGTTATCCGAGTTTTCAGCCATCATTTGGTTCAACCCAGAGGCCCACGTACATACCCCCATCGTCATCAGGCTTTACTCCCTCGGTGGGATATCCCAGCAGTCCACCCAGGCCATTTGGAGGCTCAATTGGACCGACTGGACCGTCTGGACCACCCGGAGGCTACCCTGCCACATCGACGACCTATTTACCACCGTCGACTAGCTACGGATATCCCTCGACGTCTGGGTATCCGTCACCTACACCGTCTCCAGGATTCCCAACACCTCAACCTGGAGGTCCGTCGCCTGGCCCTGGGGGGACTGATTCATATGGATATCCCTCTCCTAGTCCATATCCAGGATTCCCAACGCCAACTGGCCCTGGTGGAACTCCAGGGAGACCCAGCACTCCAGGTGGTACCCCTGGGGGAACTCCAGGAAGACCCAGCACTCCAGGTGGTACACCTGGAGGAATTCCTGGTAGACCCAGCACGCCAGGTGGTACTCCAGGTGGTACTCCAGGTGGTACTCCAGGTGGTATTCCAGGTGTACGTCCAACACAACCTGCTGGAACTCCAGGTCCTGGTCCAACCCCGGGAGGTACTCCAGCTCCACCCGACGATGATGACCTCAAGCATCCCCCCCATATACATGAACTTCAGGTAGAATGCAGTAAAACAATGATGACGATCAATATAGAGTTCAATAGACAGTTTGACGGTGTCATATACTCGAAAGGATTTTTTGCCTCTCCGGAGTGCCGTTACGTTGCAGAGAACTCTGGACAGACCAAATACAGCTTCACAGTGAGTCTAGACTCCTGTGGGACTGAGTTCATCAATGACTTTGAGGGAGAGGCAGGCCAATCGTACCTGGAGAATGTTCTCGTCCTGCAGAATGAGCCGGGGATTCAGGAGGTCTGGGATACCGTCAGACGAGTGCGTTGTCTGTGGGAGGGCAACATTAAGAAGCCTCTGACAGTGAGTTTGTCCGTTGACATGCTGAACCAGGAGATTGTGACCTTCAGTGGAGACACTGCCACTGCCAAACTCGATATTCAGGTTGGAAAGGGACCGTTCGCTCCAGCTGCCAGTGGACTCGTCAAGATTGGCGAGCCAATGACACTCGTGGTGTCTGTCGAGGGAGATCCTGCCTTCGATCTACAAGTCAGAGATTGTGTGGCTAGAGACGAGGATTCCACCAATGTCGTGCAATTGACCGATGAGAGGGGGTGCATATTGAAGCCAAAGTTGTTTGGTGCATTCCAGAAGACGAAGGAGACTATGAATACAGGGGCTTCGATCATCGCTTACGCCTTCTTCCAGGCCTTCAAGTTCCCAGACGTAATGGATCTTTTTATCGAGTGCAATGTCGAACTTTGTAAGACCGATTGCGAGGCTTGTCCAGATGCTAATCAGGTAATTATCAAAACAAGATAATTTTTTGTTGAATTACTGATTCTTTTGTTCCCTCTTAATTAATGAGTCATTGTACATTGTACATTGAGAGACCTGTTATAGTCACTCTCGTTATAGTCGTACCTCTCCGCAATTTCTGTTTTCGCGTAGTCGGATTCTCTAAATTCGCTTCCCCTACAGCATCACGCGCGTCACTACAACGAGAGTCTACTGTAATTTAGTCTTGGATATTGTTATCCGAAAAAGACGATTGCTGTGTACAAGTGAAGGAGACCGATTTAATATTCAATGGAATGTAAAAATTCTTCATGTGAAGAGGTAATTATTTTCGTTTCTTCCAGCAAATCGAGCCAGGCAGGAGAAGAAGAGATATTTCCTACATTCCATCAAACATATCATCTGGGGTTCTATCAGAGCCTCTGAGGATGTCCCGTGGATTCCGCGTGATTATGCCTGACGATCTATCCCTAGCATCGACTCAATCTCTCGAAAACCTCGAGGAAACCGCGATTGCAGAATTAACCCTTGAGCAGAGTATCTGTATGACCTACACAGGATTTTACACATCCTTCTCATTTATCCTCTCCATCCTTATCATCACCACTTCGAGTGCGGCAGTCATGTACCTGAAGCTCCAGAAAATATCGAGGGAGAAAAATCCTAATCGTTCCGAAGGGATTCATTAATATTGAGGAGAGTAAAAAATCAAATCAATTCTAGTAAAATAATTAAAGTAATGAAGACACTCAGTTAGAACGTGTTGCGAATGCCATTGAGACTTGTGTGTTCAATTAGTTTGCTTGCACCATTCGCTTAAAAATAAATCCTCACTCCCCCATGTGCCTAAAACTTCACATTATGCCCATATTTAGTTTATTTCTTTTTCTTAAATAATGTACATGATGTATTTCTTATTTTATAATTTTGATAAAATGAAAAAAGAAAGTATTGAATTTTCCATTCACACATCATTTCAATTACGTCATAAATACCGTAAATCCATTGGAACGTCGACATGAAAATGGAAATAAATACAGTAAAATGCCGTTATAGTCGCATCTAATCGTTCGGCACCCGACTTTACTACCTCGGGCTCCAAGATGTAAAGAATTTACTGGTCCTTCTGGAGAGGAACTGAATTCCAGGCAAAATAAGGCCGAAAAATAAATTTCCCTCATATTCGAAATTGCTATGAAAAAATTCAGTTTGCGATCGCTGCGAGCGCGTGGTGGGGGAGGTTGAATATATAGTCGAACTCTCCGAATTCTCTTCCCCTATATCCCCATACCCGCGACTACAACGGGACTCTATTGTAAATGATAAAAAATTATGTACAATAAACGGAGAGATGGAAATTCAAAAATAGAATATTTATATCTCCACTATTGGGAATAGTAATTAGAATTATAAACACTTGAATGATGCCGAGCCGAATGACATGTGAAGTTGTAAAACGAACTCTACATCATCACTGCGTTGAATTTTTCACAAATCTAAGAATATACAGGTGCTCTCCCCGCACCCTTCTCTCCATAGCTATAACTCCACTCATACCAAGCCCTTCAAAAATATCTATAATATCACTCGGCTTGTTCTCCCTGATAACAACCAAATAGAAGATTCCCCGACTCGACAATAAATTCGGTACCACCGAAAACAATCGATCCATTACCTCCCGCCCATCTCTTCCCCCAGCCCACGTCTTACTAATGAGCCTATCATCAAAAATCTCACTAGACTCAGTTACAACGTACGGTGGATTAAATATAAGTATATCGATTAAATGATTAGCCTTCAATGACGATACTAAATCCATGCGAATGATATCAACATTCGTTGAATTAATAATACTCGTATTTTTAGTAACTCTGCAAGCATCCGGATTGATGTCAATTGCTATAAAATGGCCAGGCCAATTGTTTCGTTTGAACGCCATTGCCAGAGCTGTTATGACAACCCCAGAGCCACTGCCAATCTCCATGCAAATATTTGGTTTCACCTTTTCAAATTTCTTCAAATCCGTCTCGAGGCTGTCTATCAACAGAAACGAGTCCTCCGAGGGCTCGTAAACTGTCTCAGCATCGAGATCAGATAGTTTAACTATTGGAGTTTCCATTTTTCACTGATATTTGAGTTATTTAATTTGTATAAACCTAGCTTCAATAGTTTGGTGAAATTCTGCCTGTCGAAGTTCGGCCTGAATACGATCTACTCAGTTTGTTCTGTCTCTGACGGCCCAGGGGTGGTTTCTGCAGCCTCTGGAAAATCCTGAGAGCTGCGGGAAGTGGTATACATAGGGCTGTGGTCCAACAGGGCTTTTCTCTTTGCTGTATCTTTCTCCACGGCGTCGTGCACCTTGTTCAAGCGTTCTTGGGTCGTCTGGAGGATGTTACTGAGTACAGTCACTCGTTGCTTAGCGTTCACCAGTTTTTTTACATAGCTATCGAGTTCGAAGGGACACTGCAGAAACCCAGAGATCAGTACGAGCTCTTCTGTCAATGACTCGATCTGTTGTTTCAATTCTATCTGACTAATCCTGGAAAATTCATATTGTTATTTTTGCATCCATTATCTTTCAGTTATTATTATCATACATTATCTATCTCGAATTTATGTTTGAATCAAAGTACAAAATTAATTTAGAGAATCATTTCAGAATTGTCGAAAGGATCGCACATGGCGATAGGCGTGCGAAAATTATCTGCAGTACTTCATGATTGTAATTATCTTTGCAAATCGCCGGATTTTCAAAATTTTATTTTGATCAGTGGATACGGATTGAGGAAGTAGTAGCAGTTACTGGAATATTTGAGGGGAGTTGCTAATTTGGAAAGAAGGGTGTGTATGAATTTCCTGACCTGGTTGCTCGAATGCGCTCGTCCAGCTGATCGACTGTTGGCTTGAGCAAGCTCATAAGACCCTCTGTCAAAGCATCTCGCGTTGGATTTTCACAGAAATCCTCGGTTTTGTCGTCAATTGATGTATTGTCACTGGCAGTGTCAACATCCATTGTTGCCTCTCGTGTGGTTAACCTTGTACGTACAGAACGAATTGTCGGAGCATGGAGTTTTGAAATCAATTGCGCCGTGTAGAAGAGGGCTAGGTTGGCGACCAACCTCTCCAACTCTCATAAAATCGCCGAATGTGGTATTTAGTTGGCGAACATACGGAGGTGCGCTGGAGTCGGTCTTGACGGTCTGGACGTGCGTGCGCAAGAGGTTTCAGAAAGAGCGGCAATTTTCGAAGGGAAAAAAGTTATAACACTTATGAAATTTGTTTGTTCTTTTTTTTGGGTAGGGGTAATGAAATAATAAACGTCATTTCCACAAACGATTCATACAATAATTTTATTTTGCTTCGATTCTTAATTGTTGTTTTTTTTTCATCGTTTATCACTATACATTTACAGAACATGGGCTTTTATGATAAAATGGTATTCAAATGCAACATTTCGAGGATTTTTTAATTAAACACATATTGATTCTTATTTTCTTTCTTCATTGGGATGGGAAGTTGCATTTGGAGGACTTAAACCCTGAAAGTTTGTCATTAGCTCAAGGTGTTCATCATCTCACTCAACGCTAGTTTAGCCAATGAATTTGTTTTCACATTTACTTGGGTCTGCTCATATAAATCACAACTCGCGATTAACAGTTATTAAATGTAAGTACAATTGTCACTAGGATGAATGGGATATTTGCATTTTTATGAGTCAACGTAAATGATGATGCGGGTAATTGTACATTCAGATAATTGATAAGTTTATTTATAGAGGGGGATTTGAGTTGTTGAGTTGTTCTTATCAGTTGCGAATGGTGTCAATTGTTTTTAACAAGGAGTAATTAATTACTTTGTGCCGTGACTTAAGGCTCCGGAGTAATTTTCCTAATTTACATTCTTCGTTAGCAGCCTCATGGGGAAAATAAACACATCTCAATTTGTTTAGTAACGGATAAATACTGGAAGAAGTTGACTTATGCGAATGATAAAAATGCGCATTTTCCATCGAATTCTCTACGTATTTTTATTCCCCCGAATTAATGAGGGCCGTTGGTGCACAAAGCCTCGATAAAGTTCCTCTGATATAAATAAACATGCAAATACAACAGAAATAAAGATAGTCTTTCACTCTGATAACGAAATATATATTGACTTAGCAACTTTATCCTCAATTACATATACGATACCATCGGACTTATCTACATATTTCCAATAATTTATAACAAATAAAAAAATAATTGGATTGAGGTAAAAATTCATGAGGACACGACAAATTGTCTCGTTACATTCCATGTCCCATCGGAGATGTTTGAATTTGCGCTTTTTAGACATAGGCTGCACGATGTAACACTATCCTAATAAGTGATATAGACACTGCACTTCACTCAGGGATAATTAATAACTATTGCTTTTTTATTTGTAATTTGCACTCGAAATGGAAAGATTGAACTATTTCTATTGGAATTTGAGGATCATGGGGTAATCAACGGAATCTTGTTGTCTGGTGATTGATTGTAGACTTTGAATTATTAAAAAATTGACTACTCATGTTATTTCGAGTGCAATTTTGGCGAATCGGTTTCACAGGTGAGAGAGATATGCATTTATGAAGGGTAGACACTCGCTGGTATGTTAGCTCGTTATTTCGTACAATAAGTATCTAGGTCTTTCAGCTACTTGAGCCCTCGTCTAGAAAAGAATTCATGAAAAAACAAATAATCCACTAATTACCTCATCATCTAACAAAAACTAACCAATTCAGCTTACACTTTACACTGTATATATATATTTTAATAATTGTTATCATCTCGTTTTATTTATCTTCTCTTGAACTAGACAACGATATCAGACTATGTGTCGTCGCACGGATTTAACCTGGCACTGTATGACAATTTTTGGTACTTTAGGCTCTGAAAAGAATAATATACATTGGCTTCTTTTTATTTGCAAAGATGCTGAGACAAATAAAGTTGCTTAACAGAGCTGAAAGGCCACTCAATACCATTTCAAATGTTCGTAGAAGAATAGAGCATGCTGCATGAAAAATTTTGTTTCTCTGTCTTTTTTTTTTCTTTTTTTGCTTTTCCAACTTGTTATGTTCCAGTTTTGTTGATTATTTCCGTCACCATCAGGAGTGTTGTAGGAGAAAATTCAGCGATATAAAAATAGTTTGCGGATCCTAAGTTGCAGTCCTTTTCAGAGCGTAAAGGAGGACTTAATTATTCAGGCGAAATACATAATCCTATTTCGATTATGTTTTTTTTATTTTTGCAAATTTTTTTTCTTCTTCCTTCTTCGGCTGTTGTGGATACAATCAAGGCGTGACATTGACATTACTAAAAGTCCTTACTGCATCCACAACTTTGCGTGTACTTTATTCATTATCTTTATGACTGTTTCATAAATTAATCAACTTGTACACAAGTTCACTGAAAACTGATACGCGCTAGGTTTTATCACCTTTCACTTTTTAAATTTATCATCAGTTTCTTAATTTTTTTTGTTTTTTTTTGTTAAATATTTTCATTAATTACTCATTGCGCAGAAAAAATAACGTAAATTTGAATTCAATTTTTTATTTCTCATTCTGATTATTGCCGGGCTTCAATTGTAAAGGAAGGATGATTTTTTCTATTTTTGTTCAATTGAAAAATCACAGCATTTTAGCTTTGCAACGTTGCACGCGGAGGAAAGAAAGTTCACAGTAAAAAATACGACATTTTCAAATCTCCCATGGATTCATTACTGTCGCTAAGATGCAGAAAGTACTCATACTTCTTTAATCAACCCTTCAACTATTTTCCAGTTTGAATTATCATTTTATTGAAGTTCGAGCGACTTCAGACTTTCACGAAAGGCAAAGACAACGAGCTCTATTCCCAAAGACACGTTCCCCTCATTTTCTCAATCAATCAGATCATAGTGTAATTAATCTGTTAATTCGCTAAATATAGGTAACATGATATTTTTCCTTATGACTCAGGTACCACATCGGTCAGATAGTCAATTTCAATTCAATCAAATAATCTCAACTCCCTTCAAATGAGCGTATTTTTAAACTGCGCAATGCAAAGAGCGCAACAACATTTTTTTGTCATTATTTAAACTTTAATTGTTTTCATTATTTATTATTTTCTCATTTGTTTTGTAACATCGAACATAGTTAAACCACTTGCCTCACTATTTCTTCACTAATCGCATTTTTTAAAATTTCACCCGACTGTTAGCCACACCTTGATATACAATCACGATATAAAGTTTAATCCTAAAACGAATTCTAGATATTCTCATGTCCCCTCTTTGTTCCTTCACTGTAATCTAATCTCAAGCGGTATCCACGTGGTCCAGTCTTTGATCCCTCCGTAAACGTCGAATAACATCTAAAATAATGGGCAAAAAATCAATTTGAATTTTTCAATGCTTGCAATATCTTCAATAATTATTCCCCGAATAAAGTGCCAATGAAGGTGCAGATGCATCAACGTTTGAACGAAGGCTCTGGACCAGCACAACTGGATAATGGTGTATGTACAGGCTACAACATACAAATAGTATCTAATTTTCAGTTTCATCTTGTGCTACGCAATAATCATTACAATATATATAATAATGGATAACCATTTATCTTAGATTCAATAATTTAATATTAAAGATTATTCTTCATGTCTCATTCTTTTCAATTTTTCTTTCATCTCTTCTTTCATATAGTTTACGCACTAGACTTTTTCTACGCTATGTTTTGCACGTTAGTTTATACGTAATTCAGCGATACAGTAGACAGTGGGTGATTCTGCTGCAGTTAAAACCTAATAACTCATCGAAATTTAATTTCACAACATTCATTTAGTTTTTCGTGTTGGATTGCCATGAATGGAGACAATGCTTTTCCCCCATTGTTTTTAGTTTCCGCTGTTCATCTCTTTTCATTTTCAATTGTTTTTTTAATTTTGTTTCATCGTTGAGCTGAACTGAAATCGATTACTCTTTGGCAAAAGAGTTTAATTTATTTTCCTGCGTATTTTATCATCATGATTGCAATCGCAATTTCGTAATATCTCGCCAGCTTACGAAATCGGCCAACGATCAATTAAAATTTAACATGTTTCCGCTACCCTGGCGCAAATGAATAACTTGTTGATTTGTTTGACTGGATTAAGCTGGGATTTTTCACAGTGGCCTTTGTACCGTTTTAAACCATTAAATCCATGTTGACACAAATTTCGGGTACTGATTTTTACTTTTTAAATAGTCAGGGGGTAAAACGTTATAACGTTTTACTGTTAACAACAGCAGACTACTGAGTATAATATAATTAATTCTACTCCATTTGTTTTTCTCCAATTGTTTTTTTCTTTACTTGTGCATGGGTTAAATACACGGATCACAATTTAATATGAAATTCTTCTTCCCCAAAACGTGTCTCACATGCTCTTTTTTTTCATTTCTATATATTTTTCTTTGTTTCAATACAAAATGTCCGTCAAAAATATTCTTTCTCTTGTCGTTTGCTATATTAATAATGAAAAAGATTCACTTACTAGCGAATTTTGCTTGTTGTTTCGACTTGACACACCAGCGAACCAGTAAACTCAGGATAATTGCACGTAGTTTGAATGTCGTTCATTACTGATTGCTTTTAGCATTGATAGATTGATAATTAAATAATCGAGTGCACAGCTGCAATTGGAGATTTAAAGAGATATTATTTCTTTGATTACACGAGGAATCGAGCTGCGACCAACGCCGGGTCACGCTGGAGAGTTATTAGAGGCGAGGAGTTGGATGCTTACAGATCTTTTTCGACAGATTATTTTGCAATTTTAGTCGAGATAGTCATTGGCTCGAAGAACTTGCAGTGGAAATACGATAAAAACGATCGAGTTGAGTCAAGTTTTTAAATTGACACTTTTAAACTTAGAAAAGATCCTTCGTGTTTCTCATCCCCACGAGAGAGAAATTCAACATTGAAAGGGAAAAATAAGTCTAATGTAAGCTGCGATGACAGTTGAATGTCGGTATTCACTGGGAGCAAGACTCCTTTCCATTTTTACGATCCTCCTCAGCTCATTGTACTGTCAATCCACCGTCAGGCTCATTCGTTATGGCAAAAGGAAGAATCAAGCGATAGATAACATGGAAAAAATCGAAACTGCCGAAATTAATCCTTGGAATTTCAATAAACTCTACCAGCTACACTCCACATTGAATTTTCACAGTACTCTTCTTTAAAATCGTAAAAATTCTCAACTCTTTTTACATTCGCAGCACAAATCAACATTTTACGACACTACGTCTCGTTTTAAAACGACAAAATTCTCATTTAAAGGGAAAAAATCTTACGATTAGAAAAATCTTCTTATCTCGATGTAGGATCTGCGGGCTAGGATTTTTTTCTCATCTCTCTTTCAACTCCAGCCAATTCTGGGGCGTCTAAAATTCACGTCGAAGTTATAAAGGTTCACGAATAACCACGAGAGACATATCGCGGATAATTTCCATTCCCGTGAACCCTCGGGGTGCTCTGTCGGATAACCAACGTGTAATTGAATTTTTTTCTTCATGTAATCCTTCATGTAAAATCTCCACGCTCGAAATGTTTTTTTTCCTCTCCAACTTCTCATTCTTCATCCCTTATTTTTCATTCGTGTGCACCTATTTACAAACACCGAACGGCCATTGGCGTCGCTCGAGGGTGGGTGGGGTGAAAAAAAAAGACATTTTATCTCATTAAAAAATTTTCAGGTGGAGGAGATGTTTTTATGGATTTTCTTCGCTCTTCTTCAGCTCCCTCATCTCTCGCTTTCGCCTTTTTATCTTCTTGATGAGCCTTACCACCAAGTTACCTTCGGCCTTGATGGCTGGCAATTTTTCAAGGGTTCTATCTGGTTTCATTGCTTCATCATCATCCTTCCACTTGCGTTTACGTGTGACTGGTGAACAATGACCAATGCCACTACGAACGACACGAACCACAGACGCCGCTGATACTGCTGGAAAGTTGTATGTTGTTGTTGTTACATTTGAGAAACGTTTGCCCGTGATCCCTCGCCTTTCCTACTCTGGCTTGAGGCGATGCCACTGTACAATTGTTTGTCTTGGCTTTGTGATCATGTCTTGCCAGTGTTTCGTCTCACTGGCACCAGTTCCATTTTTACCTGCAATTCAAAATTAATCGTTCCATTCTATTTTCACAACTGAAACTGAAACAATTATGCATAGAACATATCAGTTTTCCTGATAACTCAACAAGATTCAATTTTCACTTGTCATTCGAAAAGATAAAACTCAAATATACGAAATATTGAAAATTAAATTCTTCATATGAGAATAGAAGATTTTCGGAATAGCCAACATGTCATGTGGAACATTGCAGCGTAATGTAATTTGATTAATTTTCCTCGTTCATCCTTTAGCAGTGGAAATATTAATTTTCGTCCAGATGAAACGATGGAAAATTGCTCAGTCCCCTTTGTCCTCTCTCATCAAAGGAAATGTTCTCAATATGAAATTTCAAATTTAGAAAATGAAAAGAGAATCGTTTGATCAGATCTTTCTATTGAAACATGAGAAGCACCAGGAGAAACAGTTCCTGGAATACTGTAACCACTGGATTCTGCGATTCTCCATCACAAGGAAGATAGCGTGGAGTCGATAATTACTGGGTTGTATGTAGGTAGGACAAACCCTTGAGTTTACCTGCTAACTGTATACGACCAATGAGCTCGTTACGTCCAATATTATCGAAGTCCATGACCATGACATCAAGCGAGCATTCCCTTATCTTCTCCCATGGTACATTGAAGGAAAATGCTTCGTTGAATACTGGATTCAGGGTGCACTTGAATATCGGGGTCTTTCGTTTCTCGATTCTCTTGTCAGCAAATTGCAGCCACACCTTAACATAAGGATCTGAAGGAAAAAAATCATTAAATTTATTAGACAATTTAATCAATGAGATCGCTCTTTCATGTGGTATTCACACGGTTAATCCCATTAACATCCCAGCATCACTTCATGACCCTTCTATTTTCCATCAAATGGTTCTCCTCACTTTTTGCACAACTCGATTAGTGTACAACGATATTTTAATTGAATTTCATTCATGTCGTAACATCAATGAAACTCTATTAAAAGCCAACCACCAGCTAGAACGTAGTTTTTATTTTATTTACTCACCTGATTTTCCGTTTATGTCTTTAGCCTTGAGATTTCTTGCTTTTAGCAGGGTCAGTGTGAGAACTGAATTGCTCGGATGATAGCAGAGTGAGCACAGAAGCTCACCACATTTATCTTTCGCTGGTGGTTTGAGGGCCTTCCAGAATGATGGTTTCTCGGAGAGGTCGACCTGCCAGACAAACCCACACAATATAAACAGGCGAAACCACTGTGGCCCCGTAAAATCTATTCAGCCGGAAAACAGTCTGAGGGGAATATTACAATTGACTATTCAACCAAAAAATTTATTGCGACCGTTGGGATTTTGCAATTGTTATTAAGATCAGTGGAAAGGAATCCAGACACTCTAGATGTTTTCGAGGGTTTAACTGGGATTCGATGGGTCAAAGGGTTGTAAGATTACCTGGCAAAGGGGTAGAAACATTTCACCGATTGAGTCGTCCCTCGAGAATCGATCGTAGTCGAATACATGGAGATGCAGCACTCGGCTCTGCAATTTTTGTATCGGAAATCCTGGAATTCATGATATTTAAATATTTAGATTTTTCTTCAAACTTCAAATTTTCAAAAATTTCATTAAATACATATAATGTCTTTAAATGGAGGCTGGATCAATAAATGTTACAAGGGATTCGGAAAGGATAGAACGGAACTAAGAATATTAAAAAGGACCGGAAATATCAACCGCTATTGGTCATTTATGAATGGAATCTATCAGGAGCTCAATCTGCACCGACTAAAATATACAACAGAATATCCCCCCGAATCAACAATTCTCCCGATTCCCATTGAAACCGATTGGTGGAACAATGCTGAGCATTAAAAAATTCAACGAGATTTAATTCTTATCGGAGTTAATTGACTTAATCTGGATTTGATGTGCTGACTCATTGGGGTGACGCTCAATTTCCAGGTGATTTGAAAAATTCCACGTAAACACAGGTGGAACCAGGTGAAAGATCAAAGTTGCCGGCTCTCAGTGGTCTGAATAGTTAATGGCCCAGTGGCCTTGCAATTCGCCTATTTCGAGAAGACCTCTTTGCAGATAAAGCGTCTTGGATAGATGAGAGATGCATAGAACTGCTCCAGCTTCCCTTCTTGCTCCTCGACCAAGCTATTTCCCGGGTCTTTGAGTGGTGATGACGATGAGGATCATGAAAGGGCCAGACAAAGTCGGTATTTTCTTGATTCTCTATTGAGGACCTGGGCTTGTCATTCTCATTTCAGCGGATGGTGAAATAGTAAACATGAGGTCGATGCTTGAATATTCTGCTTGGTGAAACCCGGAATGCAAAAAAAAAGGGTTTTCATGCATGACAAGTGAGTTTGGCTTTCCAAGGGATCATACCATCCTGCTTTTCTCACTAGAATATGATTTCTGAACAGAATTCCAATCTCGTGTGCAAACAATTGTAACTCGTTTATTTTTTATGAATTATCAGTAATTTTTATGATTTGAATGGCTACAATGAATTAAATGTTATCAACTACTGGGGAAAATAGATGGTATTTTTATTACCGAATGCAGTAAAGAACATTCAATGTTAGTTCTATTGGCGAAGAAAATGGGATTGGAAACGGGGAATTGGAGAGATGAAGGAGACGAGAGAATTCGTATTTTCACAAGTTTACTGGGGTTATGAGTATATCGAAGAGGTATGTAACGAGGTTTCAAGAGAAGTATTGATAGTCAATGAGAAAGAAGATAAAACAATGAGAAATGGAGAGCTTTCATGGGTGTTATTTGCCGGTATGGCCATTAATCCTTGGGCAATAAAAATAGAGGAGAGGAAATCAACAAAATTCTATTTGTTTTCTGATTCAAACCGATTGCAGTTGTGGATGGTCCTTGGATCAGGAATTATGTAAAGTCACTGAAAAATGGAATATCTCGAGCATTCATTCTTTTCTCTCACATTTCATTAATAATTCACGAGGTCTCATAGAAAATTTTGGAGATGCAGGAGCTCAATGTCTTGTTATCTGATTCAAATCTCCATTCATTAATCTCCATCTCGACATTTTGATAATGAGAGAAAACGGGGGTGAAAAATGGCTTGAGCTTCATCGACCGAAGACAGTAATGACTGCTGAATCCCACAAATAATTCACAGATGACGGAAATGTCTGGGGTGGGAGACAAAAAACGAATGAGAGAAATCTTCTGATTGAGCTTGAATACTGAGGACACAAGGGCTTTTGGCTCTTCTGTAAAGAACACCAGAAAAAGAACGGAACAAAAGAGAAGAATCGATGGAAAAAAGACACGTAATGAGAGCATCGAAATTGCAACGAGTGGTGGAGGGAAAAATACATAGTAGTGAAAATTCTAGAGAACAAAGAATGCAAGCAATTACGGGGGATCGGGAAAGGGGAGTGGTGGAAAGAAGTAAATTTAAAAAAAATAGACAAGTGAGGCGAAGATCCATTCAGGGGGTATAGGGGTGAGAGGGGTGAAAGTCTGCGGTCGATTCGAGGTCTTAATAATGACAAATATCGACACAATTCTTATGCAATTGAGAATGTTCTGCACGTATAGTCAAAACAAAAGTTCTTCAGGGATTCTTTGTCGACAGGCTTTAACAATATTTTTTACGAATTTCTACGTATTTTTTTCTAGATATTTTGTTTTTTTATGGGATTTTATGTACGGAGTTATTTTGATCGGTTTTTTAGATGTGCTCCCCTTTGCAAAAATGGACACTTGAAAGGAAAATTTGGAGCGGAACAAATTGACGATAGATTTTAAATTACGAGTTGAATTTCTGGAATCCGGGAAGACAATGGGAAATCGACAATCGTGTGTCTCAAACTAGGGAGAACTGAGTAATTTCAGAGTAAGGGGTAGAACCTGGGGCTGGGGTTGAATGCACACTGGGATCCGTTTTGGATTTGGGTTTCGCGTGTATCAGAATTTGTTGGAGAAGATGCGGAGAGGGGTCTTTGTCTGGATGGAGTAGTCAGGTTAGTAAGCATGACGATGAGGATAATGGTTGTGGTGTTGAAGGGGATGAGGATGAGAGAAGCCGTAGGACTGAGAAATGAGGACACGAGGGTCACGAAAATAAAACTCTGAAGAATTAATCCCAGGGAACGATGAAAACACAAGCGCTGGAAAACCTTGTATTTATCTAAAAAAACTGAGTATTTCAAAAAATTTCACTCCATCACTTATTCATTATTAATTGTTAATTGTTAATTGCTTCACGAGAGGCTAATTTGGCAAAATATCACTTAAAAATATTGCCGTAAATGCGGGAAGACTATAATCTCCATGGAAGACAAATCTGGGCTTCTCTGTTCCTACAGAGCTGTGAAGAATACTGTGAAGGAAGAAATAATGGAGTACCAAATTTTCGTCTGTTGTGGTTGAAGAATAAAAGAACCAGATTTTTCTCAGGAATTCTAAATTCTCGGAGATGTTTTTCTGTGAGAGATTCATCTGTTAGGGGTCAGTAGTCCTACAGAGAGCAATGATGTAGTAATAAATTTTCGTGGTTGCGAAATAGAAGATGATGAGACTGTCCTGCGACACAATCCAAATATTCAGGATATATATTTTTTCATTCAGGTGATTATGCAACAGTTATTGCTGTAAAATAGGTACAAAGGCTCGGTGCCGAGGGAAGATGGTGTTGTCGGAGTGTTTTCGAGTCTAAAAACCAAGGAGTAATTAAGACTGAGTGAAAACTCAACAAAGGATTGGAGATTCTATGGACCTGTTGGTTCCTAGCTTGAGAGAATTGCAGAGATTAAATGGGAGGTCATTATCCACCAATTATAGTCTATTATTTCACACAATTATTATATATATTCTATTAATTCATACAATTAGTTACCAGAGAGTGACCTGTGAGTATTTGAGAATTTCTAAGCTACATCAGTGGATATATACAATGTGAATTGTAATGAAGTGTAATAGTAATTAGTACATGGCGTACAAAATTATATTCTCCAATGGATCGGAGTTTGAGGATTGAAAAGTGAATGATATATAGACATTGTGAATATTTTTATCAGTGACGGAGTTCTCACGTACTGCACTTTATTTTTTTGTTCACATTTATTTCTCTGAATTCATTGTGAGGATAAAACGCCGATTTGTCGAACAATGGACGTTAAATTGTTGCTATTGGCTCTCGATTCTAGTTTGGGTAGAAAGTACAGAGGTTTAGGTGAAATGACTAGTGTCCAGAATCGTTTTATTACTATTTTTATTTCATTCAATTCAATGCATTGACTTTTAATCTGTTCGAGTGAAAGATATTTTTGTCATTCGGGGTACTCTCGGGAGGAATTGGCAGGATTATTTCTGAGGTTACTTGTAATTGGAGCATTTATCATCACCTTGGCCACAAAGTGGCTCTCGTTTACTTCAGACAGACTCGTTCGAGTGCGAAAGGAAAAATATTATTTCTCGACATTTCTTGTTATCTTACCTTCGAAATAAAGGGTCTCATTCCATCTTGGATTCAGAGTTCTCCTTTTGATTTTAGTCTCAAGCCGGTGTTTCTTATCGGGCAGTAGTGTGACCCTCACGTACGGATCGGATGTGCCTGAAAGGTCCTTCGCTGGTAGATCTTTACCCTGTAAGTGGAATAATCAAAGGGTGAGCACAATTTTAGCAACAATAGCTGTTAGAAAGTTGGAATTATTTTCTGTTGACAATTTATTGTAATTTCAATCACAAAGTCGTCTGCATTTGCAATTTCATTGCAATTTCATTGCAATTTCATTGCAACTTTATTGCATTTCATTGCAAAAGAGTTTTAAACAATTTGAATTAAAGTCGGTCTTATGATCATTGATCTTTCTGAATCCTTGATTTTCATGCGCATCGTGGGAAATTTATATCAAAAATACAATTGAATTTTCCGTAGATCACGAGGTGATGTAAATATTTTGACGTTGTTCGCGATTTTTCAGATGGAGAAAATGGTCAAAATAAAAATGGTATTTTGGATGACACGAGCTGGCACATGTGTTGCCACACGCAGTTGTGCTGGATGTTGTGGTTAACGAGCTGTCAGCAGTTTTGTTGGGATTTATACGTTTGTTTACATGAAAAGAAAATTCCACGAGTTCATAGATCCTCTGTTATTTTTCCCTCTGATATATCAGCTGAGACCACCCCCGCGACCAACTTCCTACTAAATCCGTTATCCCAAAACTCAGTTGTGCCCTAGTTCCTCAATTTTCGAACGCGAGGTATATTGTCCCTTAAAACTGGCATTTCTTTACAAAAATACCCAAGTCGAACGATTTTCATATCAGCATTGCCATCTCACTGAGTAAAAAACTCATTCATCACCACTTGATATTATCCACAATCGTTTTGGGAAATGAGGGAAATAGATTTCTGTCAGACCCATATCTGGGGTTTTATCCCCTCAGTTTTAAAACTTGCTCTCCGTTTCGAGAATCCTTTTTTTCGTTCAATTAGACGTTACCAACAGCGGGAATAACTTTTTTTCAATAGAGCGTATAATCTCCTGCGCAAGTGGAATAACTCGCGAAACTTTTCTCTGCTCAAGAGAAATTGTGGGGAGACATGACAAATGGAGAGAATTCAACGTTCAAAAAATATTTTTACGAATCCAACATTGCCATGATTCACCCCGTTGTTTATTAATAACAACATAAAATGATGCTCTAAATTAGACTTCAAGTATTATTCCACTTTCCCTTGGGCTCTGCCATCGATTGAAATTTTTTTAAAACGAAAATCTCTCGCCTATTAACTCCTTTTGTCGGAGGACGGCAGTATTAATCAATAAATTATGTCAAAGGATGTGGTTATTACGGCTTGAAGTTAATCTTATGTAGAGAAAAATGAATTTTCAAAGGAGAGAAAAGTTTCCCGGAAAATCTGACTCCATTATAACGTACCTCGGCACATAATTGAGTCTCGAAAGGGGAGCGATAAGACCCGTAATTTGAGGATAAGTATCGAAGACATTTTTTTTCTCTTCACTGAGAAACTCGATACGACCGTGAGATCAATCCAGATCATTCAGGTTCTGAGTTTATGTGCTAGGAGAAATATCGATCAGCTGATTTCCGCATTGCAATTGAATGAATTGTAACTTGTAATGAATTAATTTCAACTAACCATTAACGATACTCGTGCATACAGATTTAATTGAATTAATTCGGGCGTCAGTTTGAACCAGTGGACATTTAAAATGGATATCAGCACTATCAGGGACACTCATCCAAATGGATTTTCATTTTAATTAGTAGATTAAATTAGATACCTTGAAATTTATGCATTTGTAAATGCAATTTGTGCGTGGATTTAACGCAAAACTGGCTATTTTTTCAATGGAAAATTAGTTGTAGTAATTACCTGTATTATGCGCAGGATAAGTGTCGTATTTTGATAGTCATATTCAAGACTAAAGTGTATTTGTCCCACGTTTTCGCTGGGCTCGGTATTGTCGATGTACATATCCACCAGTGAAATCGATCTACTCTGCAAGAATGCTTTCTGCAAACAGAGATAGACACAAATGAAACTCAATTAATTTTTTCTTCTGATACCTTTCAGAGAGTAAAATTTTTCAGCGGTTAAATTTAAATTCACACTGTTTCCAATTTCTCCTGTCAAGGCTCTCTTGTAATTGTAATTGTAATAGAATCCACTCCGCCACGTCTGCATTAAAAAAAAAAGAGGTCTCTATACTTCGAAAAAATATCTGATTAAAACCGCTTTTAATTCCGGAGACTTTATTTATTTTTAAATAACTTTCTCGTTAATAACCGCAGAATTGTTGAAAAACTGATAATAAACAGAATCTATGGTATCTACCATCCACAAGGAAAACTTGAGTTGATTTATTTGCAGCGGTAATTTCCTTTTTGACACTGAAAAAAAAAATGTTGTTCTCGCAATGATATTAAAAAATTCAAGGATATGTCAACCGCGGAGTACTGTAACATGCTTTTTTCAGTGTAATTATTGTGAGTGATAGTTTACCGAGGGATGGTCTCCTTTAACGTTTGCCAGCTGCTTATTTTGTGGTCCAGCAGTTGGAGTGCGCGGTTCGCCGCCTCCACCGACTCCACTTCCACCACCGGCACCCCCAGTACCGCCACTACCTCCGGCCGGTGATTTGCTGCCAGCATTTCCAGTCGTTCTGTAACAAAACAAAAATAAACCCCAAATGTCAGTCTGCTGACCTAGGCCATTGCGACACGTATTCATACACGTGTCACAGTTAATCGATACAGTTTAGATCAATATTTACATGTAATATCGAAAAATAGACATCAATTACAGGTGAAGAATAGAGGGACGTACAGGTTGAATTGTCTACTATTTTACTTCAAGAATGGGATAATTTCGGTTGGGTTGGGTTGGGTTGTTCGAATAATACCGACAGTTACGTACTATTTTCATTTTACATGTGATTTTACATGTATATAGCAGACCCTCATCTAGACCTTCCAATGGAGATCTAATAACCTATCAAATGCCATAAACGCACGTGCCAGCGTGAACTTCATCGAAGGATTTAATTGGTTATTATGGTTGACGACGTAACCGCAATACATTCACCTATCAATCGATAATTATGGAATACCCTTTGCCCGTGATTCTACCTGGTGATATATTTGTCGAGTATCTTGACATGAGAGAACGGGGAAATTGAAAATTATATTATGTTGATAATTTTTGGGAGAGAAATTGAGGAGTTACGTTATGGGAAGTCCACAATTCCAGAAGGAAATTATAGATACTGGGAAGTTCGGCTCTATTGTATATTTATTTAGCGAATTCGTGAAAGGAGAGGAGATGATTTAGCCCTCCGGTGAATATTTTCTTCTGGAAAATCTTGCAAATTAAAGGAGATCCGAAGATTTTCGTAATTCCATTTTTGCAGGTTCTAATTAGGTCTGCAAAAAAGATTAAGATAATTAAGACGATCGAATTATCTGCCTTAGTTTCAGAAATATTTTGAAAAAATCCTGGGGTAGTGATGGAATAAGTGAATGAACTTTTGGCTATTGGATTCTCCTACGATTGGATTAAAATCTCTATCATAGTAAAAGTTGGTGAAGAAAAAATATTCTCACGAAATATATTTGAAATATCTATAAGGACGTGAAAACTTTTAGCGACTCGCACTGTCAATCGACAGTTCCCCGTCTGATAAAATTCAACTTCATTTATTACCCCTTTTACCCCAACATTTCCATTTCCCCCCCACATCCTGTGCCAGCGACATTCGCCGTCAATGAAGTTACCAAGAACGAAGAACATTGAGAAAGTTTTCAAGTTTCTAAGTGGTTATCACAAATTATCGTTTCACAACGTTAGCAAGTGGTACAGAAATACGTGCGTCAGACATTCTGAACAATAGTCGTCAGTTAAAGAGTAGAAAGTACACTGACACATACGGACAAGATATGATATCAGAGAAGGTGCAAATACACAAATATCCCGAGTGACGTCATTTGATGAGTCGTGCAAACGTGCATTCCATGCAGAGAGGATCCTTGAGATGCTGTCTGAATGTATAATCCAGACAAAGGACTTTTTCCCTGGACATTTTTACAGTCGTAAAACGTTTACACTCATACACTGATTTACATTTATCGGTTTATCATCGATTTTTATCTATGTGCAGTGGCAATATCCAATGGATTTACGCTATGGAATTCAATGACATTTTTATTGCACTGAGATCCATCTGGAAAATTGATTGACTATTGCTTTTATATATCTGTAGAAATTGTGCGCTCAAAAACATTGAAATTCATGAAGAGCATTGCCTTGTACATAGCGACGTGAAATTTCCACAGATTTTAATATATATTTAATTAATTAGTTATTTCAACCATAACAACAGTGACATAATAATTAAAAGTGTGAAACACAATTTTCTCTGTGCTGTAATCAACATTGTACAGTCTGATGATTAATACGCAGTTGTACTTACTCTAACTGCGCCCTGCAGATTATTTTCCCAACATTGCGATGCCATGAAACAGAAAATTAAAGCGAAGAAAGCAGCATTAGTTGAAACAATTTCACATTAATAATCTTCATTTTCATAATTGAAAAACATTGACATCTCCAGTGGATAAGGTAGCGTAAAACTGTGGCATATCGACTGCGCTGAAAAATTAAGTCATTGAAAACGACAAATTGTTATTTATTTTATATTTTACCAGGACGACAGGCACTCACTCCACCCATTGTTATTCTATTCTAGTTAACTAAGGGCCTTGTGTCTACTCAAACTTTTCTCATTTCACTAAATCCCAATCTCTCGAGTCAGCGAAGATGTAACTACGAGATATACATGTTGTATCTGTTATGTTGACCAACCCAATGGGGTAGACCAGGATATTGAGGAAGAGATGGCACCCGGGTACCATAACCCAGTCAACTATCTTCTTCAATGCCCTATAAATGTAAATCGTTATCGATAATTGAACAAGTTGGCTTTGAGTGCCAACGGTAATAATTCCCAGAGTTGTAATTGCTCTGCAGATTTTAAATAAGACTCTCTCCACAGTAGTGTTATGCATTTTAGTCAGACATGAGTTAGGAATATTCTGAAGTGGAGATTATTATCCGCTGTGCACGCATTGTTATAAATTTATTGGGATATATTATCAATGATAATATATCCCATATATTAATGATATATTATCAATGATAATATATCATATATATTATCAATGACAAATCACTTGAATAGGATTGAAATTCAATTTTATTTAGAAACGGTCACTGAACATCGAGCGGAAATAACCGATCTGAAATATTAGATTTGAAAAGTGATTTTTCATATCCAATCCTTTTCCACGCATGATTTTCTCAGGGTAAACATCCAATTCTTCAGGTTCACCCTCCATCTATTAACCCCTCACAGCTGTCCAGAATTCCAAGACAATCCCAACAATTTTAAATTCTCCTCTCGTTCCTACAAACTCGATACTCCTCATTTACTTTAGATCCGAGGAGAGCCTTATTTTCCCCGCGACTTGACTCACGACTTTCTCCCAACCGAGAATAATGGTTCCGTACTTGGGTAATTGCACTCAGCTCATAACGAGGAACGAAGTTCATCGGTGGCTGACTAGCATCAAGATCGACTTTCGACAATGAATCCAAACATCGAAAACCTTTCAAGCAAAAAGGACTTGCGCAAAATTATCAGGTTATGCTCTCTCGCGTAATTGGGTCAGTGTTTTGATTTTAATTGAACAAAACAAAGAGCACGCTCTCGTCGGCACGAGAGAGGAAGAAAGAAAAATGCATTAAGCCGAGGTGTTTTTATTCATCAAGGAAAAAATAGAGGAAGGAGTAAAATCTCAAAGGAGTTTAGCAACATAAATTTCATAATTAAAAGTCCAACCCGAGCGACGATGCGTTTAAGGTCAATAGTCATAGTGGCCTCAGACGATAATAAAAGAGAAATCTTCGCGCCTACCTCAGTGCTTCCATTAAAATCACGTATGACTTGGCACGTAAAGTGTAATAAATTACTGGAGCACGCGCATTACTACTGGTACCCCACAGGTGGTACACATGTGCCCTCGAAATACCAAAGGATCTCGAACGTGTGATTCGCCTCAGTGTAACTTTACCTTTAATAATATAGAAAACTCTCACAGGCGACAGAACAACAAAAACCCTCTCTCGCTATTAGCAAAAAACTTACTAGAAAAAATTAATGAATAACCATTTTTATATAATCGTTAAAATCCATCTAGTGAAATCTCAGCAAAATCGAGAGTAAAATGGAGTTTTTTTCACCATATCGCCAAAATTGAAATTACACTCTTGAAAATTTTTTTTAATTTCAGTTAAAGTTATCTGAATTTCCATTGTATGAGTTTTAATGCAATTTCAATTAGAAATTGTCATTAAGTTTCTGATTTATCCTGAAAATTCCAGGAAAATGGGTTTTTTATGTTAAATAATAATCGATTCTCCGACAAAAGCTTCAGTGTTTCTTCACTTGAAATTTCAAGTTTAATTTTCGACCAGTGTAGTATAGATGTGGAATCATTCGCTGACCGTGAAACATTGTTCTCCAACAAGTCTACATGAATGGCATTGATATCATGAGAGGGCTTAGCATTGTGCATTGGTTGGGGTTTGCTGATACACACAGTGGCGCGATTAAATACGTCAAAGATCGATTTAACCCCTTGGAATTGGAGCTCTCTGTTTGTTTATTGATCTCTATTTGCCCGGAAATCCCCTGGTCTGAGGCAAATTGTTTGGTTTAGAATAGAACCGAATACACGTACGAGGTTGACTCTGGAAGGGTGGAGAAATATGATACAACAGTCCGTCGTTATAGTGGCGTACATGGGGCTGTAGGGGAAGCGAGCTCGGAGAATCCGACTATATGCAACTATACCCCCACCACGCGCTGCCACCGTAGAGTGAATTTTCTTCATAGCAAATTCGAATACGAGAGAAATTTATTTTACGGCTTCATTTTGTCGGGAATTAAATTCCTCACCGGATGAACTAATATAAATTGTTTACATCTTGTCGCCCGGGAACCGAAAAATACGCGAAAACAGAAATTGAGGAGAAGTGCAACTAAAAGTATTTAAATATAAAATATAATAAATATAATATAATAAATATAATAAAATATATATAAAATAATAAAAGTATTTAGTATTTAAAATCATCATATGCCAGACAGCAGGGAATTCTGATGCTAATGGTGCTATTAATCTGCTAATTAATTATTAATCATCATCTTCTGGAGGTGAGCTTCTTAATACTCCTTAATGGTAAAAGATTCTGGTGTAATTCACTATTGGATTACGATCTCTTAATGTTCGGGTTAGGTGTGAAAAGAGAATTCCGGGGGATTGAAGTGGTATTTTCTCTGGACCCTTCGTCAACCCATCTATCGGGATCTCACCCTGATGGACGGACTTTTGGTGGAATGACAGGCGGAATAGGGAAACACAGTCGGCATCCGTCGACGTCGGAGCATGTTTGTGCGTACTTGTCCAGCCGGATATTACCTCCGGTAGTTCACTACACCAGTAAACCCCGTTCAATCGGTAGGGCTATTCCTGGAGGTGTCACATAGAAAATATAGGGGGGTTTCCGATGGAATTATATTTCCTTTTTCGTTTCATAGAGTTCAGACGGTTCGACTGATGAATTGAATTGGATCTGACGGGTTTATTGGGGTGTAATCCTCGCAAATTCCCTGGGGAATGATGCGATTCGGTGAAATGCTCCAGACGGCACCATTTATTCCCAATATTATTCCCATACAAATTGTAATTAAAAAAAAAATAGTGAATCTCGCTGTTAGAGAAGTGATTGTGTGAGAGCAAAATACAGAGAATAAAATCGAGGAGTTTCACTCAATTGTGGAGCTTCACAAAATTCAATCAAAATCTCCACTGAAAAAAAAGCGCTGATTCAATCGATTAATCCCGTAAATGGTTGCTCGACGCTTCTTTATCAATGCGAAGATTTTTCCATTGAATCACATTATTTAGTCGTGAATAAATATAAATTCGATGCAATTTTTTGTAGTCCAGTGGAGTTTTCTCATTTGCACCCGGCCACTCGTGGAAGCTCGTTTTTCCTGTATTCAAAGGACACTCATTTCCCAGGTGACAGAAAGAGAAGAATTCGTGTTTTCATTATTTTCTAGATATCCTTATGGCACCTTTTTCACCTTTTAAATTACTGAGATAGACTTTTACCGGTGCATGAGGAAAGATATTTATTTTTCAGATTTGTTGAGGTAGAAATCACCTTTCGTGCATGATTCCGAGTATTGCATCGTCCATAATTTATATCTGGAGTGTGTTTTCACGATTGGACGTTTACGAGTGGTATTTCGCTCGGGTGCCACATAACAATTTGATTTGGAAAAAGTGGCTGCTGCTGAGTATTCCAGTTTACTGAGGTGGAAAAAAACGTATTCGTTTTTCCCTGGTGATTTTTTCATGTTATATTCTGCTGGTTCATCCAATACGTGGATAGACGGGATGATGAATGATGGAATGATGAAAACAATTCAAACAATGACCGGATTGTTCTCGATTTTTTATTATAAAAATGGATGAAATTTCGGGTAAATTTACACTCGTCAGAAATTTCAAGCGTAATTTTCTAACAATTGCGTACGTATAAAATTTGAGAAATTGATTAGTGGTATTTTTTCCGATGTGATAAATCTGTGATGCAACGCGATTTAATTGAATCTCATTAAAACCTCCGGCATTTCATGATCGGCCAACGGAGTAATTCGATTCGGCTCATGTGAACTCTAATTTTAATCAGTATAATAAATCGCCTTCATTATGTATTCATTACAAATTGTATAAAATTCCGGAAATTATCATATATTTTTCATGTAAATTATTTGTTATTTTCGAACATAATTCCAATCCAATTATTTTATTATTCAGTTAAATGGAATAAATGTGATTGTTGCTTTTGCAAAATAAAAATTTATCTCTCCAATTATCAAGTTATTATTTCAACATCATAAATTTCACATCAATCACAAAATGTAAAAGTTATCTCATCGTATCCGCACAGGATATTGTGATAGATATTATCTCATTTTTTCACGACTCGCAGTAAAACAATATTTCCAACTAGAATGCACTCATTGCTATAAAATTTATCAGATGAATCCGAGCAGAACACATCCCCTTGTATATTCCTATTTTATGAGCGTAACTTAATTAAAATGAATTATTATACCGATTCACGTGCTGCAGTAGCCAATGCTAATGATAATGCCCGATAGAAATTTCACGACGCAGCAAGAGAGAATATCAATAAAATTGTGATATCATGGATTCTCATGGTGGGCATTCAATTACAATATGTGAGCCCTTTCAGTACACAATGTCACTGGTTGTTACGGATAATTACTGACACGCGCGGTATCCAATACTGCAACATTGTTGAACATTGCTAGAACTATCACGT